AAGAAATGTTTTCACTCAGAGTTTCAAAAGCACAAACATGCAAAAGTATAGCCTTGGAGAGCGTGGGGGACAGTCATCTGTGTCCCCACCACCTTCTAGCGAATGCCCCCTCTCCAGTGGAGATACCCCCGGGGAAAAAGAAAGTGTAACTGCCCCAATTGTCGTAGAACCTGAATAATGAGGGTTCATGAAATGAGCCAGAAAACTCGTGAAGCCTTGATGCTTCTGTTAATTTTACCAATCATAATGCCAAGTCTCAGGGACAGAAACCCAGAACAAGGACTATGAGCGCCACCTGGTGGCAAGGCCCCCTGCGCCCTCACTTGCATTACCTGAGTGCGTCCCGCCCCCGGGGGGCCCCATCATTTTTTACGCTTCACCTACAGCAGGATAAGCGTGTTAACAGGAATCACGGCACTTCTGCCTAACGGTCACACTGGTGTTGAAGTGAGCCGCGGCAGGGCTTACGAATGCCCGTGAAAATACTGCCAACCTACCTTCCTCGCCCCCGACAGACTTGAGAAGCCGCAGGTAAAACACACCTGGTGAGGTCAGAGGGTAGTCACGGCTCCTCCCCGTATGCCGTGTGCCAGGCGTGATCCGAGCACTTGTCCGTGCCCTAACTTACGAAAATCCCTTTAACCATCCTGTGCGGTTGGGACCACCATCACCCCACGTACAGAGTGAATCGGTGAGACAGAATCCGGTGTCCTCCCTGGATTCGTCAGCCTGTAAGTGCGGGAAACAGAAGCGGAGGGCTCCCGGGTCCACGCTGGGCTCTATGCTGGTTCCTGGAGCCATCCAGCAAGGTGGAAAGAGCTAGAACTGGGCACCTAGACACTAGTTGAATCATAACTCCGCTCCTGCCTAGCCACGTGATCCCGAGCAGGTGACCTCATCTCTGCGAGACTCTGTCTGCTCAACGGGGGGAAATGGGAGAATTGACGGGAACCTCGGCCTTCTGCGGCGCTGTGACGAGCTGTCGAAGTGTCGTCTGTGAAAAGGCTTTGTGAGCTCCGAGCGTCCCACGAGACACGGGCTACTGTGGTTATCTTTTGAGTGAATTACTTTCGTAACCTGCTTCCCTTTCACGAACTTTGCTCTGCCATCCAGTCAGCGCCGGACGATCTGGAACCGACACTTGGTCTGTTTATGGCTGAGAGTCCAAAGGTGGTCGGGAGGTGTCTGAGGGATCAGGTATCCCCTGGTGACAGCTGCTCCTGGGCCACTTTCTGGGCGCAAAGATAAGGTTCATGTTTTCGTTCCATAGGACATGGTGATCACTGAAGGAACAGGCCCTCTCCCGTTCGAAGTCAAAAGCACGGCTTTCCCGACACCCCACCAAAGATCAATCCAAATCTGTTGCCCAACTGCGGAGAAGTACCAGCAGATCCGGCAGACCTGGGCAAGCCCCCTCTGACTGTGTGTCGCCTCCTCCCACAGATCAGTGCCCTGCAGAAAGGCTACAACCAGGTGCTCTGCCAGACCCTGTCTGAGAGGAACTCAGAAATCACATCCCTGAAGCACGAGGGCGAGAACCTGAGGAAGGACAATGCCGTCACCTCAGGTGAGCGCTCTCTGACCTGGGCCTGAGAGCTGATGCCCTCCCCCCTCCTTCCCAGGCCACGGCAGACATCGCCAGCTCACCACCGAGCCGCTGCTCCCTGATCTGGGGCACAGCCTCAGACACCTTCTCAGTGGCCTGTGTCAGTGAGTTCGAGTGCACCCTCGAGAGAGGGGTTTTGCCATCCAGTTTCTGGGGCAGGGCCCGGTAATTATTTGAGCCAAGGTTATCTCTTAGCTGTGTCTGCTGAGCGGCGGCCTCGGCCAGCTGGCCTTCGATGGCAAGCCCAAATGTGGACAAAGTGGGGTCACCACGTTAGGGCACCCATCATCTCGGCCATTTCACGCCAGTGCACTCAGGCCCCCGTGAAAATATTTTCTAGTTGGCCCACAGAGGTGGTTCTGTGCTAAAAGCCTTAGGGTGGGAACCAACTACACTGTCCAGGGACGGCTGTTTCTTAGCCTGGATCCCTTCATTCATTCAGCATGTTTATAGAGCACTTAGTAGGTGTCAGGCCCTGTTCTAGGCACTGGGGAGAGAGAGCCCTAAGCACACCCTCCCTGTACGCATCGGGTTCACACTTGGGAGTGAGTGACAGACACTAAAAGTAGGTAAATAAACGAGCCCATTTCAGAGAAAACTGGGCAGTGTGGCAGCCACATGCTTCGGGGGCTGAAGCAAAGGGAGAATAGCTCAGTGGGTAGGCAAGGACGGGTCTTTGAAGAGGCGAAAAGGAAGAGCAGTCAGGAAGCCAGAGGGAACAGTGTTCCTGGTAGGGAGATCACAAGTGCAAAGGGCCTGTGGCCATGTGAGAGGAGCTGAAGGTGAGTGTGGCTGGAGTCCAGGGAACAGGGGAGTGGGGAGGGCAGGGTCAGAGAGGGAGGCAGGGAGGAGGGAATAGATCCTGGGGAGGAGTCTGGGTTTTATTCTAAGGGTGATGGGAAGCCACTGGGATTTTTAGAGAGAAATCACACGCCTAGAGACCTGGAGAGGATGAAGCCATGAACAGAGGAAGGGAGGGGTGGAGCGAAGCAGGTGACTGGGGAGCAGGCAGTGAGCCTGGGTTGGGCGTATTGCTCTCACAGCACCCGGTACACAGCAGGAGACACGGCCATAGCTGTAAAAGCCAAGCTTGGCGCTGAGCCACGGCGAATCGCCATCTATCTCTATGTGAAACTTGTGGGCCGTGCACCGGGGCAGCCTGACCACCGGCTTTTCCTCTATCTCACTCTGCAGTTTACCACCCCTACCTGCACCCCACCCCCCGACTTGCCAAGCCTATTTATACTCTTCCCTGATTGACAACGCCCTCGGATATTTGCTGAGCACTTCCTGCAGGCCGGGTGCTGCTCTGGGCACCAGGAACATAACACGCTGAGCCCTTGTCTCCCTCCCCGACACCAGCCTGTCAGATCTCATCCATGCTTCAGGCCTCTCTTGGATACCACTTTCTCCACTCAGGGACTGGACAGACCCGGGTTGGGGTAACACTGGGGGTGGGCTGGACCCACTCAACGTGCGGTCCCCAGACCAGCCGCATCAGCACGCCCTGGGTCCTCGTGAGGACCACAGAGTTTCAGACCCAGCCCAGGCCTCCTGAACTGGAATCTGCCCTTCGGTGAGACCCACATGTGTCCTGCCCACATTCAAGTTTGAGAAGCACCGGGCTGGGCTGGGCTGAGCCTCGGGGGCTTACAACAGACGGGCTCATGTCTTGTTTCCATCTGGGGTCCATCATGGGTTAGCAGGGGCCTGGCCCGTGCCGTAGCCCCTCGGGGACCAGGCTGACACAGGCCATCACAGCGCCTGCTTCCGCGATGAGAGAGGCCAGAAAAACCTACAGGTCAGATGGGATAGCAGGGACTGGATTGGCTCTCCTGCCTGAAACAACCACAAGAAGAAAAAAGGCATCTGAAACGATTATTCCCACGTGACAGTGATCCAGGGGAGAGGGAACAAAGCAGACGATCGCCCCCGCTTACTGCCTGCAGACGGGCTCCAGACCACAGCATGGGAAGGAGAACCCAGGCACAGCCCAGTGGGCCCCCAGGTTGAGGGGACGGCATTGGAGAGGCCCACGCAGCCACAGTTTGCTGGGCAGAGTGCCCGGGAGGAGAGGCTGTGCAGAGAGACCGCGCCCGGTGACCTTTAGAGGGTCCCCCCCCCCCCCCCGCCAGTCTTCAGCCGAGTACCGAGAAGCATACACACGCGGACAGGGAAAGAGGACCCAACCGATGCAGAGCGAACAATCTCAAAGCTCACACGGGCCTGGAATGGTTCACTGTCCCAGCATCCGGAACAGAGAGGCTTCCTAATACACACGGTATCTGGTAGAGACTCAAACAGGGGTTGCCTCGCTTTCCTTTCGGGGCCGCGGCCGCAGCCATGAGCGTGCTCAGGCTTCGAAAGAGGCTTGCCTCCCGGGTCCTCCGCTGTGGCACAAAGAAGGTCTGGTCGGATCCCAGTGAGACACATGACACCGCCAATGCCGGCTCCCACCAGCAGATCCGGAAGCTGATCAAAGATGGGCTGATCATCCAGAAGCCTGTGACCGTCTGTTCCGGGGTTCGGTGCCGGAAAAACACTTCGGCCCGCCAGAGAGGCAGGCATCCGCACACTGGTAGGGAAAAGGTACCGCCAGTGCTCGAATGCCTGAGACGTGACCCGGACGGGGAGGACGAGAATTCCGTGTCGGCTGCTCAGAAGATACCGTGAATCTAAGCAGATGGCCCGCCACACGTGTCTCACAGCCCGTACCTGAAAGCGAAGGCTAATGTGTTCGGAAACAGGCACACTCTCACGGAGCGCATCCAGAAGCTGGAGGGAGGCAAGGCTCGCAAGAAGCTCCTGGCTCACCCCGCGGAGGCCCGCAGATCTAAGACCAGGGAAGCCCGCGAAGGGCGGTGAAGACTGGCTCCAGGCCCAAGAGGAGGAAATCGCCAAGACTCTGTCCAAGGAGGAAGAGGACGAGACCAAGAAAGAAGCCCCTCTCTGTCGTCTGTACATTGTGGCTTCAGCAACAACACAGATCAATTATTCAAGAAAGCAAACCTTTATCTGCAACAAAAAGAAAAAAAGAAAAAGAAAACCAAAACGTGTTGTCTCAGTTGTAAGGCCAAATTACATCCCGGTGAAAGTTCTGGTCCCTCCTCACAAAGCATGAAGGCAAGTCCCAAAGGGACCGACCTGTTTTCGGAGTAACTTCACCGTGTCCTGTGACAGAGCCTATCGTTGAAAGGAAATTCTGGAACATCTTGTTCCTTATTTCACGTACCTTCTTGATTGTTACCTGCCGACAAAATTGGGCATAATTGGAAAAGAACCATGTGAGATAATCCAACCCCACAGCACCTCTGCCCTCTTCTTTCCACTTGTCCTCAATACGAGAGCCCAGCAATGTATGAGTTACCTACTGCTACGTAACCGCTTATCCCAAAATGCAGTGGCCGAAACAACAACCACTGTTTAGCGTCTCATCCAGCGTCTGGAGCTCGGGAATCTGGGGGTGACTTGGTTCTCAGGGTCTCCCATGAGGCGCAGTCAAGATGTTGGCTGGGGCAACTGTCCCATCATCATCATCTAAAGCCCCAACAGGAGCCAGAGGATCTGCTTCCGGAATGGCTCGCCCGTGTGGCTGTTAGTTGGAAGCCTCCACTCCCCACAGCGCGGGCCTCTCCCTTGGTGGCTTGAGTGTCCCCACAACGTGGCGGTGGGCTTCCTCCGCTAAGTGAGTGATCCAGCAGAGAGCAAAGGGGAAGCCGCAACGTCCTTTGTGACCCACCTAGGAAGTCCCATCTTTTCTGTAGTATCATTACTGATTAAACACCTCAGCCCTACCCGTGGTGGGAGGGTGCTGTGCAAGGGCCTGATCTGGGAGGCGGGGATCACTGGGGCCATTTTAGGAGCTGGCTACCACAAAAAATAGTAGGTGCCACCATGTGGCAAACACTGTGAGTTAGCCACTCTCCTATGTTCTCTATATGTTTTTAAAGCCTCATAATCACTCTGTGGGGGAGATACAGTGAAAGGTACTCGTAAGGAAAGTAACAGGTCCAAGAACGCTAAGTGGTAGAAACAGGTTCCAAAGTCAGGCGAGCGCGAATCCCGCCCCTGACAGCCTCCTTCTGCCACAAGCCTTTTGTGGCTCTGGTGAAAAGCTCCTGGTGCTCCCCTGTTCTGGGCCTTTGGTCCCGAGGTATGTTCCCCATGGCGTGTCCTCTCCTGCCAAACCTGAGCCCACAGGGGCCCCGAAAGGCTTTCCGTCTCACGGCGACACTCGCTGACTTCTTGTTCCCACTGAGGTCTTAAACACCGTTCAGCTCACTTCAGTGTTATCCCTGTCCCAGCTCCGGGAGCCTGGACGCATCCTCCTCGGGTGTAGACGAGCACCAAGTGTGGCCGGGGCTTGGAAGGGGCTCGGCCACGGGTTGGCTGAGAGCTGTGGTGACAGTAAGTCTTACTGCCTCTTTGACCTCTGCGGGTCTTTGCTTTTCTCTTTAACAGGGATGGTGTCATCTTTGCAAAAGGAAGTGTCAACAAGGGATGAGCAAATTCAGCAACTCACACAAGAGGTGAACCAACTAAAAAGTGAGAACAAAGAAAAGGAACATCAGCTTGAAGCCCTCAGCTCCAGAGTGAGTGTCAGGTCACCATCACCATAGTGATGCCCCCCCAAAAAGCAACCAGCAGAGTCCTATGACTCATCCCCTTTAACCTGGACCCCAGCTTCGAATGCTACTGTCTCCTCTCCCACCACCACGAGAGGAGGCTGGTGGCCAAGGGCATAGGGAAGGCACAGGGAGTCCGACTGGAGGGTGGCCCAAAACACGAAAGGCACACGAGGGGCCAGCTTCTCTGCAAGTTAAGGAGCTTTTTAAATTTTTTTTTTTCTTTTTTTTCCAACGTTTATTTATTTTTGGGACAGAGAGAGACAGAGCATGAACGGGGGAGGGGCAGAGAGAGAGGGAGACACAGAATCGGAAACAGGCTCCAGGCTCCGAGCCATCAGCCCAGAGCCCGACGCGGGGCTCGAACTCCCGGACCGCGAGATCGTGACCTGGCTGAAGTCGGACAGGAGCTTTTTAAACGTAACTTTGACTCTGCAAATGCGTCCTTCAATCCTGACTTTATTTTTTTTTAACGTTTATTTATTTTTGAGACAGAGGGAGACAGAGCATGAATGGGGGAGGGTCAGAGAGGAGGGAGACACAGAATCTGAAACAGGCTCCAGGCTCTGAGCTGTCAGCACAGAGCCTGACGCGGGGCTGGAACTCACAAACCGCGAGATTATGACCTGAGCCGAAGTTGGACACTTAACCGACTGAGCCACCCAAGCACCCCATAATCCTGACTTTAGACTCCTGATCCTGTAGAATAAGGTGTTTATTTGTTTGTTTGTTTGTTTGTTTGTTTTGAAAGAGAGAGAGAGCATGAGCAGGGGAGGGGCAGAGAGAGGGGGAGAGAGAAAGAGAGTCCCAAGCAGGCTCCGAACTGTCAGCGCGGAACCCAGTGCGGGGCTTGAGCTCACAACCATGAGACCAGGACCCGAGCGGAAATCGAGTCAGACAGTCAACTGACTGAGCCCCCAGTCGCCCCCAGGAAGGTTCCTCGGTATTTGTGTGGTTTGTCTGTTTCCCTGAGTCGAGGTAAAACCGAATAGCTGTCATCTCAGGCGACAGCTCAAAGATTCACAGTGGTCGTCTGATCAGGGTTACGGGGGTGGAGACAGATCTTGGAGTTGCAAAGATAAGGCACAAGGAGTAACATCTGGTGCTTAGCACAACGCTGTTTGGAACTGAGAAAAGGCAGAGCATCAGCTTTGGGGCCGGACAGACCGGGATCCGATCCCTGAGCTTTCTTCTGTGGTAACGGAACGGGTCTCCATTTCCACATCTGTGAAACGGGGGAAAACAGAGGCATTTTCTGAGAAGTGGGATGCTGATTTCAGTCGTGCTCTTCTGCCTCTGCGCCTGGCCAGCCGCCTGGTGAGCCCTGCACCGTCATTTCTCCCAGGCAGACTGAAGCCCTGGACACGGGGGGTCACAGCTTTATGGGGGCGCGTGCGGATTGCCAAGGGGAAGAGATACGGGAAAACAGCGCCTGTTTGATTATCCAACTTCCTGAAGTACATTTGGATTCTTTTTCTCCCCATTTCCCCCTCCTCATCGCCCTTGAAATGAGGGATTTCTTCTCCACTCTCAGGCCCCCAAGGGTGAGGCTCTCGTGAGCCTCTCAGATACCCGTCTTTCCTTTTTCTCCTTCCCTTTGTCACGCGTGTTAATTTTAGGAAAAGAAGTAGATGAAGTTGAAAAGCAAAATTAAAGAGCTAGAAAAGACAGTGCTACCCCTAGAAATCCACATTGATATTTGAATGTATATTAAATTCCAGACTTGTTTCCATCTATTATAAATTTTTTAAAAATATTAAAAATTTTATACTATACATAATTTTTTTTATATTTTAACTACTTAGTGTTTTCCCGTGTTAATAAATAAAAGCTCCTATCATGGGTCCTAAAAGCTACAAAATATCTCACTGGTCCTAAAAGTTACATAATATTTTCCTGGATGTGCACAAGGTAATAAAACGATCCAGTTATCAAGCATGGGTTGTTTCTTTTTTTTTTTTTTTTCCTCCTTTTTTTTTTTTCTCTGTTGCTAACAATACTGTGAGGAACACCCTTGAACCTACAGATTTGTTGATTTCTCTGATCATCATCCTTAAGACATACTACTAAAGTGGGAATTTCTGGGTCAAAAGAAGGCACATCTTTAAAAAATTTTTTTTTCAATGTTTATTTATTTTTGGGACAGAGAGAGACAGAGCATGAACGGGGGAGGGGCAGAGAGAGAGATACAGAATCGGAAACAGGCTCCAGGCTCCGAGCCATCAGCCCAGAGCCCGACGCGGGGCTCGAACTCATGGACCGCGAGATCGTGACCTGGCTGAAGTCGGACGCTTAACCGACTGCGCCGCCCAGGCGCCCCATATCTTTATGTTCTGAATGCGTGTTGCCAGGCTGCCCTCCAGAAAAAGCTGTTTCCTTTCGGGGCAGATGTGTCTCTGAGATGTGACTCACAGAAAGCTCTAAGAGCCTTCCAGGTTCACTTACAAAGCTCCTCTGTGTATTCCTGAAAGCCACTTTTTGCTGGTCACAGAGGAAAACACACCCAATTCCTCCACCCTTAGTATCCAGACTCTGCAAAGCTGGGTCTGCCCTGTGGTGTAGATTGCTGACTCTTAAAAGTAGAATTTAGGGGGCACCTGGGTGGCTCAGTCGGTTAAGCGTCCAACTTCCGCGCGGGTCACGATCTCGCGGTCCGTGAGTTCGAGCCCCGCGTCAGGCTCTGGGCTGATGGCTCAGAGCCTGGAGCCTGTTTCCGATTCTGTGTCTCCCTCTCTCTCTGCCCCTCCCCCGTTCATGCTCTGTCTCTGTCTCAAAAATAAATAAACGTTAAAAAAATTTTTTTTTAATAAAAAAAAAAAAGAAGAATTTAGGGGCACCCAGGTGGCTCAATCAGTTGAGCATCTGACTTCGACTCGGGTCATGATCTCATGGTTCATGGGTTCAAGCCCCACGTCAGGCTTTGCGCTGACAGTGTGAAGCCTGTTTCAGGTTCTCTGTCTCCCCTCTCTGCCCTTCCTCCACCCCTGCTTGCTCGCTCTCTCTCTCTCTCTCCCTCTCAAAAATAAATAAACATTTAAAAAAAAATTTTTTAAAGAAGAATTTGGACATGTTCTCCCCAGAACTCGTGAGAGGGTGAACTAGGAACTCCATGCATCCGTCCGACACAAATGGCCTCGCCTCCATTGGAATTTGGGGATGTGATTGGATTAAACAACAGGAACTGTTCTTAGGGGCAAATATGGGGACTCTGGACCCACGGCCAACCCCGCGGCCTGTTGACCTTTCTCTGTGTAGTGCTACATGCTGAAAGAAGAACTGAGAAAGGAGGATTCTCAGAAGGAGCACCAGGAAGCCCAAGGGAAAGAGTTAAAACTCTGCAAAATTGTGAGTTGAACCTCCTCCCTCCTAGGTGTCCCCAGAAAGGCTAGACTTTGACCTTCAGGGTTTTGGGGGTGTTGGGGAGGGGTTCCTTGGCCCATTGGATAGCACGAGCTCGGGACTTCAATGATGGGTTGTTAACATCGTCTCCTAATTCTTTGAAATGCTGCCTCCAGCCCCAAGGAAGAGATGGGTGAAAATAGGGAGGCAGGATGCTCTGGGCGTGGGTTCTGGCCACCTCACCATGTTCGCCCTGGAGCCGGGCAGGAGCTGGGCTGGGCTGGGCTGGGGACACACTCTGTGGCCCCTGCCCCTGGCTCTGTGATGCCCAAACCTTCCTGTTCCACCGTCTCAGTTTATCACAGGCACGGGCACTGTCATTAACAGGAAATTCTCCCTGAAGTATTTTTACTGGAACATAACAATTTTACACCAATTCATAAAAACAAAGCAGAAAAAAAGAGGTATCATTTGGCTTTATAGACGATGACTTTGGAAACAAATAACAACAAAAATACGAGTACTAAAATGAAATCGTTCATTCCCTGTGCCAGCCGAATCCTCTCGCATGTATGTTTCCATTCATTGGGAAATACAGCGCCTTAGACACCGGGAGACGTGCTCTTCTCTGTGTTAGGAACGTTGCTGTTTTCTGCCTCAAGGGGGAAAAAAGAAAAATTTCCTTGTCCTGTCCTTCCAGACCGTGTCCATTGTGTCATCCAAGCAGCCCTTGTTTAGACTGATTTCGAGAAGAGTTTCTCAGAAGAGTTTCTGATGAGTTGATGGACATCTTGTACTGTTTAATGCAGGGTCCATGCTGATTTTCAAAAGAAACTAATCATTTTCCTATACCCAATTTCCCATATATCAATTGAAAAAAACATCTACTTTGCCCCGCAGATGTAGAATTTTCCCCCAGGGGAAGCAATTAAGCTCATACCAGATTAGGTTTCTGCCTTAATGAACCCAAGGAAATGAGCCATAGAGATTCAGAAGATTCAGCAACTCTTACTTCCTGTTGTTGAAACTCTTTCAGCAAATCCAAGACATGGAGAAAGAATTGAGGAAGCTCAGGGAGGAGCTGAAGAAGAGTTCTACTGAACAGAGCATGATCTCCAAAACGCTGCGAGAAAAGAGTAAGGTAAGACAAGGACGGGGTGGCCCAGTGACTGCCCTGGGCCCAGGCTCTCTGCACTCATCGTCTCCATGAATCTCACAGCGACCCCGTGTGGTCGATACTGGTATTAACCCCACTTCAGGGCTGAGAAACTGAGGCTCGCAGAGGCAAAGGACATTCCCCAAGTTCACACAGGTAAAGTATCTGTACGACTCAGAACTTGGACCCAGGTCTGTCTGACTCCAGTGCTCCCACGTGTAACCACTAGTCTAGACTGACTGCCACTCTTGTAAAAATTATCCAGAAGAGAACCGATCCATTAAACCAAGCTTGCCAATGATGTCGTTCAAACTTAAGTGGTCTTTGGGTTGTTTCTTGGCCGCGTGTTCTCTCAGTCATTGAAGGGGTATATTTTTTAAAAATCTCACGATTGCGGATTTGTGTGTTCTGCTTTGAGTATCGCCAGCTTTTGCTTTGTGTGTCTTGAGGTTACGTTACCAGGTTCACTTGATCTTAGCCCAAAGGCCGAGAAGCGATACGTTACTGGGTCCGTATAAAGTGAGAATTTTAATACTGCTCGGTGGAAAAAAATCCCTTTGCTTATCATAAAATGTCCCTCTTAACTCTAGTAGTGTTTTCCCCTTAACGTCTGCTTTGCCAATAATCTAAGCTACACTGGCTTTTTTTGGTTAGAATTTTCATAGCGTATCTTGCTCCTACTTTCTCTGTCAGTCTTTAAGTTTTAGACCTATCTCTTCTAAGTAGCATATCGTCCTTATAAAATCCACTTTGACACTCTTTGCCTTTTAGCCCGTTTATATATGACGTGGTTGCTGGTGCACTGGGGTTTCAATCTATGTTCCTGCTCATGGCCACCTGTACGATCTAGGCAATGTTCCCTTTACTTCCTCTCTTGCCCTTTTTTGAGTTAGTGGTTTCCTGTCGTTCCCTTTTTCTCTCTATGAGCTTGGAAAATCTTTTTTCTTTTACTACTCTTTTAGCAATAGCAAGACCACAGCATTCAGCCTTGACTTCCCAAAATCCAATATTAATTGAGTTCTTCACTCTTTAACTATTCTTAGAAAGGTCAGCCTAACGACTATAATCTGCGTTTTTGACTTAACCAAGATCCAACATTAGCTGATAATTGTGCCCTTCTCCTTGATAAGGCAGTGACTTTAGAACACTAACTTCCCTCGCCCCCTCCAGATTTGCATGCTGTTGTTACCATTTCTAAACTATTCCCTACGTTTTAAACCCCAGAAGACCTTTATCAGTATTTCTACGTAGTCAGTATTCATACCCGCACATTATGTTTTCTGCTGTCTTTTCTGCATCTCTGATCATCCATCTGGGATCATTGTTCTCCTGTTTGAAGAACATCATCCGTGTTTTCCTTCGGCGTGGCCGTGCTGATGACAAATTCTCCCAGATTTCCACACACACGCACATCTTTGGAAATGAATATTTAACCTTCGTTCTTAAAACACATTTTGACTGACTGTCAACTTAGCAATAGCATTCTTCAGCACCTTACGGATAGCATTAGGCCCATCATCATTTCATTGTCTCTTGGATCATGTTGTTTCTCTTTACAAGTCATTTAGAAGCCTAGGGGCGCCTGGGTGGCTCAGTCAGTTAAGCGTCCGACTTCGGCTCAGGTCATGATCTCAAGGTCTGTGGGTTCGAGCCCCGCGTCAGGCTCTGTGCTGAGCGCTCAGAACCTGGAGCCTGCTTCCGATCCTGGGTCTCCCTCTCTCTCTCTCTCTCTGCACCCCCCACTCTCACTTGGTCTCACTCTGTCTCTCAAAAATAAATAAACATAAAACAATTTTTTAAAAAAACAAACCTCAATAAAAAAGATGTGTAACCGTGGGGCCTTTACGTAATCTACCTTCTCTGGCCACTTGTAACTTTTTCTTTTCCCTTGATTTTTAGCAGCTGTATTATGATTTATTTGGGCGTGGGTTCCTTTTTACTTACCTCGCTTGGAGTTCTTGTGGGCTTCTTGAATCCTCGGCTGGGTGTTTTGCATCAGTCCGGCCCTCAGGTGCCATACCACACAGGCGGCGGGGAGCTGCCGGAGGCTTGTGAACAGGGAACTGGCGTGATTGCATTGTGGTTGGTGATACCGATGGACACGATGGCCATAACCCCTCACGTACCAGGCTTTGTGCCAAACATTTCGTCCCTCTCAAGCGTTTATCCTGTCCAGTTTACGGAGTTGGGGATCGGGGCTCCCAGTTCCTGGTAAGGTGACCAGCCCACGGCCACGCTGTCAGCGGGTGGCAGAGCCGGGACGGGAGGCCAGGTGTGTCTGGCTCCAGACACAGAGCGTTTCCGTCGCTGCAGAAAGTTCTGCCAGACCGAGCTGCTCCGTGGCTTGGTCACTCTCACAGCACCATGAAGAATGTGCTGGAAGGAAAGAAACGAGAGGGAGGAGGCCACTTCTCGGGGCCCAGAGGTCCTCAGTGCCTGGAGAGGAGATCCAAGCACGGGCTTGGAGATCGCTGGGCGTGGGAGATCGAGCAGGGAGGCGGCGGAGGACGACCCCGAGTGTTGGGGTGGGGAACGGGGGTGCCATCCACCAGATGGGGAGCGCGGGTGAGGGCAGGGTCCTCTGGGGCTGCACTGGGCTTTCAGAGCATATAACAAAGTCTGCTGAAATAGAAGTCGGAGCGTGTTTAGGTGTGGGGGGATGTACGGGGAGGAAGCGAAGGCCCCGAGAGGCTGGGTGGCTTTTCCGAAGTCCCATTGCTTGTTCCGGGCTCTTTTGCTGAACCCCACTGCTCAGAACAAAGCTCTACAGGGCTCTTCTGAGCCTTTCACATCTGTGGCTTCCCTCTTCAGCCCCACCGAGAAACAGCTCGTGAAGTTGTTTCAGCACCGCACCCTCACGTTTATTCAGGGGAGTTTGCTGGCTGGCCCAGTAGTGCCGGGGCCCTGGGCCCGACAGGTGCTCCCAAAATGTTCGAAAACGAACAGCGCAGCCGCAGGGTCCCATAAAAGCCAGCAGAGGGCAGCATCGAGCACCCGAAACCTCCCCTCGCCTTGACTATGATCCAAGCAAGGGGGGAATAGATGGGCAGGTTTCCCCGCTGCAAACTCCTTCTTTTCAGGCTGTGCTTCTTAAAAGACATTGTTTAGCAACTCCCTAAAGTTCACCGGTGAGTGCTGAAGGCAGCAATGACAAACAGTTACGATAATAAGCCCGATAAGGCACATGGTGGACGTTCCTGTCCACTTTCACAGGTTGCAACAGCTGGTGCATTTATAGACCCTCAAGCAGCACTGGTGCTACTCTAAACATTTTAAATCCCCGTAATAACCCTACGAGGCATACTAGGATCATCATCCCCATTTGACAGATGAGGACACTGGTTGCGGTGGTCACAGCACTTGCTGGGGACCCAGCAGAGGTTTGGAGCCTGCGATAGGATGCATTTGAGCCCGGGGTGCAGAGCTCGGCCCTTTCCCCTGGAGAGGGGTGGCTCTTGTGAGCCTGCCTCCACCCTGTGTGTGACTGTGACCCCCACCACCTGGGCTGCAGCCGCCCCTGCCCCCCCGGGACTCCCCGCCCCCACCACAGGGCCATTAGACCTGCTAGAGGAGTTCCCCTGGAGTGCGTTATCCCATTAGCAGCGAGCACATGCTTTCATCATCATTTCAGGTTGAAGAGAAGCTTCAGGAGGATTCCAGAAGGAAATTGCTCCAGCTGCAAGAAATGGGGAACAGAGAGAATCTCATTAAAGTCAATTTGGAAAGGGCAGTAGGTCAGGTAGGCGAGCTCCAGAGCCCCCTTCAGCGGCCCACCCACGTTCCCCCTGGGTCCTCTGCACCCAAGCAGCTGGTGGGGACGAGTGAGGAGGGCGTCGGCCTCGGTTGAATCCTCCCTCTTATCCCAGAGGAGAAACTGTGTGTGGCTCCTGTACCCCCGTGGGCACCCCGAATAGGCTTTTACTGCTGGGCAGCTGCCCACACAAACAGTTCGCCATTGTCTAAGGCCCAGGCAGCCCGTCCCGGCTCCGTGCTGGCCCCAATTACCCCGCCATGCGGTTCCCTCTTGGGAAGAGTTTGAGCCTCTTGATCCCATGGTGTTTCTAATCCTTTCTTCCTCGCATTTTTTTTTTTTTTGTCCTGACATTTAACATCATTTTTCTTCCTCTGGGCCCCCCCGCAGATGTCAGAGTCGGTGTCCTTAAGGAAATAAAGTAACACCCCAGAATGTCAAAGCTCACGCTAGATGAGGAAGTCCCTGGGCAGGGTGGTGAGCAGGCTGACGGGCTGGTCTGGGGATGCCATTTCTGTAATACTCGGGCCCCAGGTGGCCCAGTGGCCCTTCCTCTTATGCGTGACACAGATGTGAGGGCCAGGAGATGCAGACGAGACTTCACCGAAGGCTAAGGGAGAGCAAACAGGAAGCCAGGATGGGGGCACTGACCCTCCAGAATATGGCCCTCCAAGGGCACCCGACCCTGGACTTCTCAAGGGGTTCTCTCCTGGCAAAGCACGGCTCCAGGCAACCCAAGAACAAGTTGTGCGTGTATGTGTTGGCGCCATTGTTTTTCTGGCAAAGAGGGTTCACCGTGTCGCTCGTTGGATCCTCAGAAGGGTCTGCGAACCACCCAGAAAAGTTAAGAACCACGCCTCCATCCCACGTGGCCCGGCTCCCAAAGCCCGTCCGAGCCTTAAGTGGGCAGCGTGACCGGGCTTTGTCAGAGGCGCATACAAGTTTAGTAACAATGCTGACTATTGGGCAGATCTTAAAGCCCCTTCAACAAATGTCCCCCTTCTCCAGTGCCATCCCCGCGAGGTGCCACCACTCAGCGAGGGCAGAGAGCCCACCGGTCTGAGCCTTCCTTTGTGCACCTTTTCTGCACTCGGTAGTCCCCAATGCACACCTGGTCCGAAGGCGTGATCTTTGTCACTTGCCCAGGCACCAAGGTCCGGGTTGTGGCTCTGGGGAGAAGTCATCCCGGAAGGCCCTCAGAGACATTGAGAGCCCTCCGGGTCCAGACTCAAAAGACAGAGCATGAGCCCTCTCTCTGCCACCTTCCCATCCCACGCCCTTATTTCCATGGCCCTGTTCTCTGTCGGAGACTCTGCCCCTCCCCAGCTCCAGGCCTGAGCCCATCGTTCAGGAGGACCTACCCCTCCACCCCCGAGCTGTGCTCTCTTCCTGGGCTAGTTAGGACCCTCCCCTTGGCTGTGGATCCGGAGGATGGCCTGGAGTGCCTCGAGACTACCACCCTGCCCCCCATCAGCTTTGGGCCGGGTGATTGCAAGGGTGTCCCTAGAAGACTCACCGTTCCACTACTGGGTTCCCAGAACTCCCCAGTACATAGTAAACTTGTGCATATTAGGACCCTTTGACTTTTGTGTTGTGGTTTATTCACTTAGTTTTGAGAGAGTGAGCAGGGAGGGGCAGAGAGAGAGGGAGACAGAGAATCCCAAGCAGGCCCTGCTCTGTCCACGAAGAGCCTAATGCAGGGGCTTGAACCCACGAAGCATGAGATCATGACCTGAGCTGAAACCAAGAGCTGGACGCTTAACCGACTGAGCCACCCAGGCGCCCCGGGACCCTTTGACTTTTAAGTTGATTCGGTGGCACCTACGGTCCCTTCAGGGCTCCGTTTTAGAGGCAGTGACCGTATTTTACCAGCGAACCGAAACCCCGGGCCATGTTGGTACATTCCCGGAGAAAGGCGGGCTGCCTCTGCCCCCTCTTCTCGTGGAACTGGACACCTCAAGCTCGTCATTCTGTGTGCCCCGATCTAATCTCATTGTGCCATTTCGTCAGCTGCGATCTGAAAACACCCGCGCCAAGGAGGCGCTCGATAAAAGCCGGCTGAACCAAAGCAGAAGACTCGGCGTTTGGCCGACGACTCTGCATTCAAGCGTTCGGTGAATGGGGACTGAGGGCCTACTCCGTCAGGCACTGCACCGGGCTCTGGGGACACGAAGACCGTAGGCACAGTCTCCAGGACACGCGTGGTCCAAGGCCCAGAATGGCAGAAGGGAGCACACTGTTCTCTCCCCGGGCACCCGAGCTGATTGCACCATCTCCTCGGGCTGACAGCCTCAATATTTATTTCACAGCCTGGCGCCAGCTCAGCAATTATGGAAGAGCCTCCCGGCCCCAGACTCCCCGCCGGGTAATTGGCAGCAAGTGGCTCCTCCGAGGGCGCGAGCGCGTGCGCTGACCACGCGTGTGGGTTGGGTTAGGCAGGCAGACCCAAACAGTCATCAAAGCCTGCTGTCCGGCTCTCTTCCGCGGGCCCCGCCCCTTCCGGCGAGAGGTGACCGTTTCAGTGACCCGTGGCGACCACTAAAGGCGCGCGGACCCTTCTGACTCCCGGACCCCGGTGCTGGAAGTGCCACGCGCGGGCTTGCCGGCTCCGGGCGGCCCCGCCGACTCTTGTCGCCTTCCCTTTCTGTGCTACAGCTGGAGCATTTCAGAACTCAAATCATCAAGGCCACCTACGGACAGGTGAAGCCGTTCCTGGACAGATCCGTCACCGATCAGCAGGTTTGTCTGGAGTTTTCACTTCCTTCCCCGGGACCCGGGCCCCCAGACACGGGGAGCATATGTTTCTGGTTTTGGTTGATGGCACATATTTTTCACGCTGTTGCTACACCATAAAGATTTGTTTTGATTTTATGGGATTTCCTGGCTTTTAAAGTAAAAGCCAGTTAAACTCCCTTGAAACGTTTCTCTGAAAATCAAATTAAACCACTCAGGCCTATTTCTGGTCGCCAGACACACGCATTTACCCTTCGTTAGCACCTTAAAAAAAAGCGGGGGGGGGGGGGGCGGCCTCTCCGTAAACCGTGCCTTCCTTCCGAAGAGAAAATAGGGCAGTGGGGACGGACTTCTGGCTGTAATGACCGCCTCGTTGTCCTTCCCGACTTTCTTTCCATCCCTCTGTGTCAACACACATAAGAAACCACACCAGGACCTGCTCTACAGCGGCTGCGGACGCTGACCTTCTATTAATGAGCCCACAGCATCAGGCTCCGTGTTATGAATCACCACCACAGTGCAGAAGTACCTAGAACAGACCCGTGACAGCGTTACAGATCCTTGGCTCTTAAAAGTCATCTCTGATCCTGGGAAACACATCCTGGGGACAGAGCCAATGTTCTCCTCCGGAGCCATCCCCAAGGCGCACGTCAGGACCTCCCTTCTCACCTGTCGAGCCGGGAGCTTCAACCCAACGCCCCCAGCTCCCTTCCCAGAGCCGCCCTGTGCCGTAAACCTTTTTTTCCTTTTTTTCTCACCAGTTAATAGAGAAGATTACCCAGGTCATGGAGGACAGCATCAACCTTCAGCAGAAAAAATGGACCCTGCAGAAGGAGACTCAGCTCCACAGCTCCAAACGGGAGGAAATCACAGAGAACGTTGAGAAGCTGAAGACATCTTTAGACAACTGCCAGGTGGCCCCCCTCTGCTCTTTACAAACGTCTCTTTCACCTTATTTTTTTTTTTTAATATTTATTTATTTATTTATTTAGAGAGAGAGAGTTTGTGTGTGTGTGTGTGTGTGTGTGTGTGTGTGTGTGCGTGGAGGAGGGACAGAGAGAGAGACACAGAGTCCAAAGCAGGCTCCAGGCTCTGAGCTGTCAGCACAGAGCCCGACACGGGGCTCAAACCCACGAGCCGTGAGATCATGACCTGAGCTGAAGTCGGACGCTTAACCGACTTGAGCCACCCAGGCGCCCCTCTTTTCGCCTCATTCTTGTGCTGCTTGTGTGGGAAATTACCCAGCGCTTTTGGAGCAGATGGGGCAGAAATGCTCTGCTCTTTTTTCTTTTTGTCCTTTTCTCTTGTTGGAGAAACTTGTTTGGGAATAGAAAACAAAGAGCCCCAGGTGAACTTGGTGTGGCCAAGGGAAAGACGCCCAACACACTCCTAGCACTGACTTGGGGTAGTCCCCGACCCCAGCAGGAAAAAAAAAATAGCCCCCTAGTATTTCCAGAGAAACCAAAGAAATGTTCCTACTCTTTATTTGCAGCTTCTTTTTCTGCCCAGCGATGGAAAGCCTGGTGGTCTTTGTTGTCTGTCTGTCTGTCTGTCTGTTGCCCCTTTTGCTTTTGACTCCAGTGGAGACTGGGACCAGAAGTCGGCCTGAACCCCCAGGGCTCCCACGCGGGCACAGAGCCCATCGAGCAGACAGCCCTGTCTGCTTCCTCTGGAAATAAGCAGCTGCTATTTGGGGAGTCTGTGCAGACGCGGGCTCGTCAGCACCCTTTCAAATCAGGAAACCCCACTCTCTGGCCAGCCCCTCTGTTCATCTCCACAGGGAGTTTGACGTGCAGAAGCACCCAAATCTGGTTCTCGTTTCAGCCCGTGGTCCTGGGCGATTTGGCTTTGGAACTGCAGAGACCTAAAGGCGGGGTCTCTCTGACCATCCAGAGTCCAAATTAAGAGTCCAAACAAACAAACACACGAACAAAGGCAAAAGCGGCCCCGACACGGGGGGTAAATACAACGGAGCCCGCCCCGCGCGGCCAGCACGTGGCACGGCTTGTTTCACGGCAGGGTCGGGAGCGCGGCCGTCCGGGTGCTGGTTTCTGGCGCGCGTCTGGGCTCCTCATGGTGTCGTCTCTTGCCAGGCGTGCATGAAAATGTCCTGCTCTAGCAAGGACCTGAAGAAGGAGGTGGACGTGCTTCAGAGCCTTCAGGTGAGCCCGCCCGTTTCAGGGCTCCAGAAGGTGACACTGGACATCTTGCGCCTGGCGCTGTCCTGGCTGGAGGACACGGAGCGTCTCCTCGGGGAGGTCGGGATCCAGTTATCCAGCTCCGACGCAGGTGACGGGCGCTTTTTCCTTTTTTTCCTCTTCCTCCCATAGTTGCATGACTCTAAAATGTCGCGTTGAATCTTATTGCGAGGGGACATCTGTTGAGGAAGGCTTCTTAGGAACGTGGCCAAGAACTCCCTTCTCCAGACTGACTTGGAGAAGTGATTTTCCTGGGGTGGGGGAAAAAAAAAACAAGTGAGACATGATTACTGAAGAAAAATGAGACGTGACAGAGGCAAAAGGAAAACTAAATCAAAATTATGCTAAATCCTCCCTTTCAGAAGGAACTACCATTTTATATATATATGTATTTTACAGAGCAGTTTTAGGTTCACAGCAGAAGTGAGAGGAAAGTACCATACAGAGACTTCCGTGTGCCCCCTGCCCCCCGGCTTGCACAGTCCCCGCCTCCCGCTGTCAGGATCCGCCACCAGAGTGGTGCATTTGTCACAGCTGGGGAACCCACACTGACACATCAGTGCGAAACCCAGCCTCCATGCTTTGAGTTGGGGTTCGCTCTCGGTGTCGCACATTCTAGGGGTTTGAACAGGGGTATCATGACGTGTATCCACCATCGTCAGGGCACGCAGGATAGTTCCATTGCCTTCAAAATCCTCTGCTCTTCACCTGTCCGTCCCTCCCCCACGCCCCAGCCTCCAGCTCCTTTTTACCACGGTTTTGCCTTTTCCAGAATGCCGTGCAGTTGGAATCCTACCACCTCTCAGATCGGCTTCTTTCTCTTTCTAATCTACATTTAAGTTCCCTCCATGTCTTCTCATGACTTGCTAGCTCACCTCTTCTTAGCACTGAATGATACTCCACTGTCTGCACGTACCACAATCTGTTTAGCCGTCCATTTACCCCTTTGAGTAAACCCCGGAGGGTATGATTGCTGGAGCATGTGGTAAGAGGATGGTTGGTTTGGAGAGAAACCACCAAACTGTCTTCCAAAGGGCCTGCCCCATTTTGCATTCCCGCCAGCAGTGAGTGAGAGGGTTCCCGATGCTCCACATCCTTGCCAGCATTTGATGTTGTCATTGCCGTTGTGTTTCGGGCGTAACTTCCACAGCATCTTCCCGGGGAAACAGCTATGTGGTTCTAGGCGAGTAACTTACCTTCTCTCTGCCTCAGTTTGCTTGCCTGTAAAATGAGGATAATAAGGAATACCCACCGCAAGGCTGTTGTGAGGACTGAAAAATATTGGTATATGTAAAGTACTTAGAATAGTATCTGGCACAGAATAGGCGCTACCTGTACATTTTTTTTTATCGTGGGCATTTAGGTTGTTTCCCGTTTTCCATACTCACAGTGCTGACGTGAACACGACTGAACACGTATCTCGTCGCCTTATCTCTATCGCCTTCTAGGGGGAAGGACATTGAACCGTTTTCACTCAACAAAGTTTCATTGCGTGCCTACGAGACACCAGCCCTGTGCAGGGCAGAGATGTAGTGGGGTCAGAAGCAGGTGAACTCCAGGTGGAGGGTGTATGGGTGTTCGCTGTAAAATTCCTCTAACTTTGTCTGAAATTTTTTTTTTTAATTTTTTTTTTTAACGTTTGTTTATTTTTGGGACAGAGAGAGACAGAGCATGAACGGGGGAGGGGCAGAGAGAGAGGGAGACACAGAATCGGAAACAGGCTCCAGGCTCTGAGCCATCAGCCCAGAGCCTGACGCGGGGCTCGAACTCACGGACCGCGAGATCGTGACCTGGCTGAAGTCGGACGCTTAACCGACTGCGCCACCCAGGCGCCCCTGTCTGAAATTTTTTGTAGTGAAATATTGAGGGGGCATAGGCACCGTCCCTGCCCTCACAGACCTTGTGGTCTTGGGGAGGGGAGTTGGGCATTAACTGAAAACTCACGCGCACATAAAACTTGGATGGTGACAGGTGCTACAAAGGAGAAGCACGGGACTCTGAGCCGGTCAGGGAGGGCAGGGTAGGAGGACGCGTAGGACGCGTAGGAGTTATTTGGCAAAAGGGGGAGGGGAGGGGAGGGGAGGGAAGAGAATTCTGGGCCAAGAGAGCTGTGTGGCAGTGGGGAGGGGAGCATAAAGAACAGAAGGGTCTGAAAGAAATGGGGGTGGGAGGTGGGACAGGGCTGGCAGGGGAAGTGGGCGGGGGCTGTGCCCCGCGGGCTGGCAGGGCCCCCTGTTAGAAGCCCTGCTTTATCCTAAGAGCAGCAAGGAGCCAATGAAAGGCTTTAAGTAGGAAACGGACGGAACAGGTTTGCTTTTGGAGATAACGGTCTCAGCTGGGAGTGGAAAATGTGTGGGAAAATGGCCAACACGGAGCACCAGGGAATCGTTGGGATGCCGTCCCAGGAGATGATGGTGGCTTTAGGGCAGGGGTGGGATAGGGAAAGAGAGAAGGTCCCCAGGCACATCAACAGCCTCTGCGGCAGAATTGGATATGGTTAGAAGAGAAGTGACAGAGAGAAGGGAGTCTATAGACCTCCAGGTTTCTGGCTTGTGTGAAAGGACAGACGCGCTTCCTTCGCTAAAATCCAGTCTAAGGAGCGTTGCACGAAGACCAGGTTTGAAGGAGAAGATGAGTGTGAGGTGCCTGTGAGACATTCCAGATGGGGTGCGAAGGATGCAGCTGTTACCCTGTATGTCTAATCTGGAAATAGATGTTAGTAGTGGTATTTCTCCAGAACCCAGAAAGGCATATACCACATAATGGGTGCCTACAAAAAGCATCATTTCCATCCCAGTAACAGTGGGGCCAAGCCATGTGTGTACTGTCCCCTCCCCATGTCCAAGGCCATTTTAGTCTTTGTAGCTTATGTCCAGAAATCTAGTCATATACATGCTACCATAAAGAGAAGTGAATTATAAAGTGAATTATAAAGTCTCAGGCCAGCGATTCGAGTTATTTCAGGCAGCATTTCTCAGACCTGCCCTCTCAGGTCTGCAGAGTTCGTCGTATAACTAAGAAGCACTATGGATCTAGAAAAAGGAGGTAAAGAATGTAGTGTTCCCAAAATATATTTCTCCTTTTCTACTGTCCTTGCCCTCTTTGGGAATAATGTCCTATGGAACACCCGTGGGGGAAACACAGACTGTATTCCACGATTGCAACTACAAGGTCCTAAGGAGTCAGACAGGAAGCATGGCGGGTAACAACAAAAAGATCAATAAGTGGAGCCTGTCCTTCATTCCTTCAGCAGGAGAAGTTGATGGCAAGGGCATTTTCTCTTCCAGTACGGGCAGGATTATGGCAAGGTCCCAAAAGACTAAAAGAAAGGGATGGAGTAGAGAATTCTCTCTGTCCTCTGTGTTAAGGATTTCCGTACCTCATTCCCAGCCCAGAACCATCTACCCAAGGATGGCGGTGGCCGTGGTGGTGAGGGTGGTGAAAATGGTGAGGATGATGAGGACAGTCGGGGTCTGAGTAAGTAAGGACGGTGATGGTGGTATGGTGATGATGGCGGTGAGGAGGACAGTGGTAGTGCCGAGTACGACAGTCGTGGCGGTGATCAGGTTGCGATGGTGGCGATGGTAGAGGTGATAATGGCAATGGCTGCGATGATGGTGGTCACCATTCACGACTGAGCCCTTCTCCTCCAGAAGCTATTCTAAGCATTTCCATGTATCATTTCAGTTCATCCTCACAGCAACTCGGTGAGGCAGGTACTGTTATCCTCATTTTAGAAACGAAGAAACTGGCCCCAAAACTACTTTTATGAGTATTCCAGCATGATGAGGGGACTCAGGTACTTCACATCGCCGAGGCCAGCAGGGGGTCCCCGGTCATTCACCGCCATCCACAAACACTCCAAAAGGCCTTCTGTGTTCCCAGTTCCCGAGAAGAGGGTAGGAACCATGGTTTATTTAGCTGCTGCTGAGAACTTATCCCCATGTTAGGTGTTTTATATGTGTTGCGTTGTGTCTTTCTATCCTCCCGTATCCTAGCGAGCGAGGTACTATTATTGTCTTTGTTTTTCAGGTAAGGAAAGCAAGTCTCAGCGACGTTCAGAAACTTGTTCAAGGTCACACAACTGCCACATGGGAAGGTCAGGGTTCAAACAGGCCGTTGTGATCCTAATGCGTGTGTGTTTGTCTGTGACCCCACGCTCTCTCTGAAGATCCAGAGAGGTACCAGGTACACACCCAGTTCCTAGAGGACAGATTCTGTCATCAGCTTGGGCAGAGACAGAGCTAAGAGTTCTCGCCCCCCAAGGTGAGCTGCCCTCTCTGATGTGCACCACGAGCCAGGCCCAAGGAAGACTCCATTTGCACGACACAGCAGAACGTTTCTGAGCCCGGGCTTCGGAGACCAGCTGCCAAGTCTGAATCTCAGCTGTGCGCTTACTAGTTGTGTGAGAAGGTTGCTCGACTTCCGTGTGCTCCTGTTTACCTGTTCGTAAAATGGGATTAAAGTCCCCTAGAGATGTTGTGAGGATTAAAATGCTGAGATGCAGGTGCCGATCATGGAGCCTGGGCCACGCGGTAAGACTTAATAAACGAGAGCTGCCATTGTCACCAGCCTGAAATACCTGTGGACCTAATTTGACCTAAATGTGGGTCAGATAGGTATACGCACGGGCTCTCCAGCTTGATTTATTCGCACCAAGGTAACCCGGCCCGCAGCCTCTCGCCCATCTCCATTTGGCAGCAACTGGGATTTTCCGAGCCACGAGCACTCAGTTGGGTTGAACCCACAAGAGCCCTTCCCAGGCCTCCTTCCCAGAGTCATGACCATGGGCTCAGTGTCTCAACAGCCAGCTGGTAAAGGTGGGATTCGGTACAGATCCCTCTGACCTCCCAGTCCCTACTCTTAACCACCACGCTACCTGCCTTTTCCAATACTGTCCTAAGAGATAGAGTTCACCTAACAGACTGGGTCTATAAACCCTGAAATGAATCCCCCGGGAGAAGGCAGGTCGACTAATGTTAAGGGAGACTCGACTTGGAGTATTGCTGGCCACTGTCCTAAGTGGCTCAGAAGGTTGGTGTTGCCACTAAAGATGTGACCGGTCAGGGATTTGCTGTGTGGTCCATCTGGGAAGATGCAAAACGTCTCAAGAGGGACCTTGAAAGTTAGCCCCCACTCCTCCTGCCTGGTTTCTCGGCTTCTTTTGATAAAGGAAAAGAAAGAACTCTACATTTTTCCCGCAAGGTCAGTTGTTTGTGTCTATTTCTGCAAGACTTTGTTACAGATAAAAGGCTTCCCTGCATCCGTAAAAAATCACTCTTTCTCAGATATCCAAAATATGCAGCATTTTTACATGAAAAAAGCCAAGTTGTAATACAATACGCACAGTGCTCCCGTTTTTAAGTATCGGTACGGAATCAAAAGAAAAGTCCGAAGAAAAAGACACACCAGTGTTGGGAGTATTTTCCCAGCGTGGTGGGACTGTGTAGGACCTTCACCTTCACTTGGTCATTCACCAACTGTTGATTGCAGGCCTACGGTGTGCCAGCCAGGGAGGCTAGAGCAGGGAACAGTCTCCACGTTATGGATGTCTGTAATGTTTGGGTTTGTGTAATAGACACATACAACTTTTGTAACCAGAAATATGATGAAGAATGGCCTCTTCTCGAAAAGAGAGAAACCCCATAATGACTACGGCTCAGCATGGAACCCAGACGCACGACCACACACTCCCTCTTCTCCTTCGACATCCTTGAGTCCTTCCTCTCCCTAATCCTCTCTGGATCCCACTCCTGCTTTGATCCCTCCCCTTGGGTTCTTGAGTCACGGGTTGTACCCCAGCTGAGCCACCCCAAATCCATTTGCTCCTATAGCTGTTGCCAACAGTACCCAGGCCATCTTGCCTTCCCTGCCGTCTTGATGTCCTCACAGAGCACTTCTCCCGTCGCTTAAAAGAGGATGACAGACCCGGGGCTAGATTCTGCGCCTACCACTTCCCAGCTCGGTAGCTCAACCTGGCTGAATTTCTGCTGCTTCACGTACAAGGGCAAACACATTTCCTTGCTGGGCTGTTTATCGTGGCTATAGAAAATAGCACGCATAAAACTCCTGGCGTGGTGCCTGGCACACAGTAGGTACTTAATACTTGATAGCTATTATTATAATATTACTGTTCTACTCTTACAGGCTGGAAATTCTCAGAAAGTTGCACTGCCAGGGATCAAGGCCCCAGGCATGAACATATGCAGCTCCTTTCCTTTCTCTCTCTCTCTCTCTCTCTCTCTCTCTCTCTCTCTCTCTCTCCCCCCACCTTTTCTCCCTTCCCCCTCCAAATTCCCGCTATAGTCTCACTGCTTTCTCCAGATGCAGCTCTTCCCTCCCTGGGTCTCCCATTCGCTGTCCCTCCCAGGGGAACCCGTGCACAAGGTCTGGGATTACAGCTTCCTTCTCTGGCATCGACCGCTTTCCTCTTCCTCTTAATCCTTCTCTTGCCATCAAACATGCGTTTCAAGATGGCAGTCGTTCCCTGGAACCCGCTGCTTCTTTAGCTCTTTTTCTGTTCCTGGCACTCCCATCCCGCCTTGGCTCTTGCAGAAGTGTGTTACGCCCTCTGTCTTCATTGCAGATTTCCTACTCTGGCTCTGCCTGCCTGCTTTACCCCTGACATGGAGCCCCGCCTGGACTGGCAGACCCGCCATCTTTCCCCAGCCTGCGTTCTCTCCGGCTCCCCCAGCGCTCTCGGATCTCTTCCAGGAAACACGCTCAGCCCTTGGCTCCCCCGGGCCTGGTGCACCCTGCCTGTCTCTTGACCTTCTTCATTGGTTTTCAGCAGCCCCTTTCCCCTATTCCTGTCCCTACCTGAGTGTTTCCTCCAATGGAGCCCTTGGCCCTCCCCTCTCTCATTTCCTTTCTTATGAAGACAGTCTCCATCCAGGCACTTCCACAACCACTCCCGTGGCATCGATGGCCACATGCACATCTCTACGTGCCGTGCCACCAAGAATGGAAGTACAGGTTGGGCACCACATAAGGCAGCAGGTGGGACCCCTGGCAGGGGCCGTGGCCACCAGGAGGAAGGGTGCTCTCTCAATCTCATGAAGACCTTGGGTGGACTGGGCCGGGGTGGTCCTGCTTTCGTCCAACCACCTCTCCTTAGAGTCCTTCTGGTACCTCAAATTCAACACGTCTGACACCGAGCTTGTAGCTCCTGCCTCCTCACCAGCCCTTACACCACCCTCACCTGTCTTCTCTGTCTGACAATGGGGCCACCATTCTACCCCTAAGAGGAGATTTCTCTCTCTCTCTCTTTTTCTTATCCCCATTTCTCCCTTCTCCCACCCTAGTTTAGAACATCGGCCCTAAAGACCTGGACGTCCATGGGCTCCCAGCCTCTAACTCTCAGGAAGGGATTCAGCCGCCAGGAGACATCCGGCAATGTCCGGAGACGTTTCGGTTGTCACGCCCAGGACGGGGGGTGGTGCTCCTGGCGTCCTGCAGTGCCCAGAACAGCCCCCACAGCAGAGAATTTGTCTAGCCCAGCCTATCCACGGTGCTGCCATCAGGAAACCTGCTAGTTCCTCCGCCTCTAATTCACCTCAGCTATTTTTCTGAAAAGACAAAAGGAGCAAAACAAGAAAACACTCCTCGTCAAAGCAGTTAGTTCACTGCTCCATCGGCAACTGAAGCAGCAGTGACACGGATGCTAGAGTCCCACTGACTCGAGCCCAAGGCCCGGCTCAGCTGTTTGCCAGCCTTGCGGCACTCGGCAGCCGCACGTCTCGGGGCCCGGCTGCCTCCCCTGTCACACGGGGTGACGATCCGGTGACACAGTGCGGTGACGCACTGATTGCTTGGCAGAGGGCCGGGCACACGGGACCTACTCTGTACACGTCAGTGACGTTTCGAGCCAGTTCACACATTGTGGCTACTGTTCCGGACCGGCCACCACTCGACCCCAGCCTTCCCCCCCAGCTCCACCTTCTGCTTCCCTGCTGGCGGCGTCCGAGCAGCCCAGTTAAGCACAGCGCCCTCGAGGGCTGTGCACTCCCTTCCCCGACCCCCCCACCTGCCTTCACCCCCACATTAGTTTCCTATGGCTGCTGTAACAAATACCACCAACGCAGCACCTCAACACAGCACATGTGTGTTCTCGCGCAGCCTGAAGCCTAAAGCCTGAAATCGGCTTCCCTGGGCTCGAGTCAGGGTGTCAGAGGGACCGGGTCCTTCCGAAGGCTCTAGGAAAGGACCCATTTCTTTGCCTTTCCTCCATCTTCAGAGGCAGCAGTGAAGCATCTTCCGGTCTCTGCTCCTGTCCCATCGCCCGTCCTCTGGTCTTCCCGTGTGATTTTATTGGGTCTACCCAGTAGTCCAGGATAATCCACCCCTCCCCCCCCCCCAATCTCAAGAACCTTAACTTGATGACATCTGCCAAGCTCCTCCTGCCCCGTAAGGAAGCATTCACAGGCTCCCAGAGATCGGGACCCGGTTATCTTTGAGGGCCGTCAGCCCGTAGCCTGCCATTTCCACATCGTTCATTCAGAAATGCCCTCCCCGCCAACTCTGAATGCTGCCTACCCAGCAGTGCCCACACCCGGTGGCTCCTTGGCCCGGTAGCCTCCTGTGATCACTCTGGGTGAATGATCTCCCCTCCTCTGAGGCTCTCACACTCCCCCACTCTGTCAGTAGTCACTTAGGTGCCAGCTGGAGCCGCGGCATGTTTCCTATCAGGCAGCCAGACCCCGTCTCTCAGACTGAACCTTGACGAATGGCTTCATAGCATCCCCACACTCGGCTCGGGGCTTTGCACCCAGTGGACACAGTCAGTAGGTGCTCTGCGGATGGGGTTTACTTTCCACCTTCAACAAGAAACTCGATTTGAGCCCAGCCAAGACTGGGCAACCATTTTTAAACCACACATCGGACGGAGACTCCGGTCTTCCTGGTGGGAGGACAGCGTTGCCCTCATCCACCTGTGCGCAAGCTCTGTTACTACGTTATTCGGAAAGCAGAGGAGGCGAAGTGAATTAACACTTCTCTTTGCTTCTTTTTTCAAGGATTGTCTCTGTATTTGGAATATCTTCTGATACATTACAAGAAAATTACAAACCAAAGCCAGGAACTTCAGGTAATAGTTTAACTTTGAAAGTTCATTTCAGCTCCTCCTCGGCATCTATATAGCACTGTGCACTGTTTTTTCTCTGTTAACCAGTCAGTCCACCTTCCCCAAGAGGTGACGTGGTATCTCTGTTTGACACAAAAAGATTCAGACAGGGTGGCTAAGATCTCCCAGGAGGGCAAGGACAAGGACAGGATGCGTGTTTCCTTCTGTCAGAATTATCAGAAAGATTTAAATGCCGTCACATCTTGGGGCACCCGGGTGGCTCAGTTGGTTAAGCATCCAAGTCTTTTTTTTTTTTTTTTAATTTTTTTAACGTTCATTTATTATTGAGAGACAGACACAGGGCGTGAGCAGGGGAGGGGTAGACAGAGGGGGAAACACAGAATCTGAAGTAGGCCCCAGGCTCCGAGCCGTCAGCACAGAGCCCGACGCGGGGCTCGATCTCACAGACCGCGAGATCGTGACCTGAGCCGAAGTCGGTCGCCCAACCGACTGAGCCACCCAGGCGCCCCAAGCATCCAACTCTTGATTGCAGCTCAGGTCACGATCTCACGGTTGGTGGGATGGAACCCGCTTGGGATTCGTTCACTCATTCTCTCTCTCTCTCTCTCTCTTTCGAAATTAATTAAAATTTTTTTTTAAATTAAGAGATAAATACCACCACATGTTGAAAATTGTGCTTATTGAATGCAGTGGAACAACACAACTAGCAACAGTACAGGGAGACGAATTAGCAACAGTTGCGTAACGTGAACATTTGAGAGGCAGTTGATGGTTAGGGATCGGACCACTCTCGTAGCTACTGACATACAATGCTGTGTAATGAGCACCCGCAAAACTTCAGTGGCATTCCATAATTACTGTTCGTGGCTCACGTGTCTAGGGTCAGCCGCTAGGTGGGTGCACCAGTCTTGGACAGGCTTGCCCAAGTATCTGGGTGTTGGCTGGCCCTTGAGGCTGGCCTCAGCTGGAACACCTCTACTCTCCTCCATCTGTCTGTCATCCTCCATCAGGCTAGCCTGGGAACGTTCCCATGGCGATGCAGAAGTACAAGGGAAAGCAGCCCGATCGATCGTAGAATGCTTTTCAGTTCTCTGCCGGGATACGTCTGTTAACATCCCATTGGCCAAAGCAGGTCACATGGCTGAATTCAGTGTCAGGGCAGGATATGGGTGGGCACTGCAAGGCACATGGCCAGAGGGGCGCCTGGCTGGCTCCGTCGGGTAAGCATCTGACTTCGGGTCAGGTCACGATTTCATGATTCGTGAGTTCGAGCCCCCATCGGGCTCTGTGCAGACAGCTCGGAGCCTGGATTCTGCTTCAGATTCTGTGTCTCCCTCTCTCTCTGCCCTCCCCCACTTGCCCTTTGTCTATCTCTCTCTGTCTCTCAAACATAAATATTAAAAAAAAATAAATTAAAAAAGGTACATAGCCAAAGACATATGGATAGAGGGAAGGGAAGGTATTGGGACAACCATTGCAATCAACCCCACAGACCATCTAGTCCAGGGGTCAACAAACTTCATCTAAAGCAAAGGGCCAGGTGGCAGATAGTTTAGGCCATAAAGTCTCTGTCACACCTACTTAACTCTGCTGCTGTAAAGGCAGCCATAGACAGACAGTATGTAAATGAATGAGCACGATGGGCATGGCTCTGTTCCCATAAAACTTTATTTATAAACGTTAGGAGGGGACCAGATCTGGCCTGTAGATAGTACTTTGTCAGTCCATGATCTAGTCCATTCTCCTTATTTTACAGGTCTGGACATGAAGCCTCAGAGGCTAGGTGACTATTTCAGTGTCATACAGCTAGCTGATGGAAGAATCGAGACAAAACTTCAGGCCTTCTGACCCTAACTAACTGCTTTTTCTCTTCCACTCAGCTAATAATAAGTAATAATTCTAGCTGCCATTTACTAAGCACCTACTATGTGCTAAGCACTGTGTTAAAAGCTTTCCATCACAATCTCCCTTAATCTTTCTTTTTTAATTGTTTAGTTGTTTATTTATTTTTGAGAGAGAGAGACAGAGACAGTGAGAGAGAGAGGGAGACACAGAATCAGAAGCAGGCTCCAGGCTCCAAGCTGTCAGCACAGAGCCCGACGCGGGGCTCGAACTCACCAACTAGTGAGATCATGACCTGAGCCAAAGTCGGACACTTAACTGACTGAGCCACCCAGGCACCCCACGATCTCACTTAATCTTTACTCTAAGAGGTAGATATTATTACTAACCTCATTTTCTAAATGGAGAAGCACCTAGAAGGAACCAGAGCTGAGATTCTATCCAGATCCAGAGTCTGAGTTCTTAACCACTGAACTCAACTGCCTCACTACTGGCAAGTAGGCTAAGCATTAAGAAAGTTTCGTGTAAACCTTTGTCCTGTCCCCTGGAGGTAAAGAACTTATAAAAAGAAAACAAGTTGAAATGACTCCTTTAATTAGTCTTGTCTCCCTCCCCCGCTCCCCGCCCCCCCCCCCCCCATCAGCTTCAGTTTCCTTTCCTCTCGTTTCAGATCAAGATCCACAGCTCTCAGGAAGCTCAGCAGTCTTTCATGCAAGAGAAGCTGCAGGAGCATCTGGCAGAGAAGGAGAAGCTGAATGAGGATAGGCTCCAGCAAGAGGAGAAGCTGAGAGACAGAATCAAGCAGCTGTTGGAAGAGAAGGAGGTAAGGCGGTCCCTGTCATTGTCTTTACTCCTGGAAAGTGACGGAGTGGCCTTTTCCGAGGGCATGTTCTTAGAGGGCGAAATCTCAACAACTCCTTGTTCAGTGCTATGGAACTAAATTAATTAAATGAGTGAGTAATGTTGGAGGAATTAACATGAAGCTTGAGTTCTAAAACTCACAGCGAAATTGGCTTGAAACATCGAGGTTACTGAAATTCCTGGAAACGGTAGCTTATTTGCTTAGATATCGCAGTTGACTTAACAAGTTCAGGTCACCGTTACAGGTCCTGGTTTGTAAGTGACGGACCGCTTCTAAGGGCGTGCGGGACCGACTTCATATTATTTCCGTCTTCCGCTCTCATGTACATATCATAGGAAACAAACGGACAAAATGGCTACTTACTTTTCTAAAACCCAAGCCAGCTAGGAGATACTTTACAGCAGCACCTCTCAAACTTAAAGGTGCCCACGAAGCACCTGGGGAGGCTTTAAAATGCAGATTCTGACTCGGCAGGTCTGGGGCAGAAACTGGCATTCTGCACTTCTAACAAGCTCCCAGCTGGTGCTGAGAGCACGGGTCTTTAGACTACCTTTTCAGCAGCAAAGTCTTAGAGGAAGGTTTTCCCAGAGTTGCCCGATAAGAACCAACTGGACGCGTGTTAAAAATACAGATTCTCAGGCCCCAGCCCAGACCCACTAAATCAGAATCTCTGGAGAAGTCCAGGAAACTGCATTTAATGAGTCGATTCTCATCTTTGGCCTATATTCAGCCCTTTTTGATGTTCAGGGACGGCCATGAATTTACTTCACTGCCATCATCCTAGATGAGTGGCTCTTGACTTTGGCTGTGCTTTTGTCAGTTAGATTAAAAAGTGCCAGCGCTTTCCACCTCTCCCCCACCCCCATCCCCAGGCTCTGATCTAATTGAGGCGAGGGTGTGGCTCATGCACTCGGATTTCAAAGTGCTCCTGGGTGGTTCCAGAATGCAGCCATGGGTGATAACCACTACAGGCTGCCCCTGCCTGCTCCCACCCACCTCGAGACAGCCACCCCAGATCTGCTGGACCCCAGCTCTTCCCCCCCCGAGGCAGATTGCACCTGGCAGTTCTGACTTCCAGCTCGGACCATCCCTCTCTGTCACACGTCAGCTCTGCAGACCTCTCTGCCTCGTTAAGCCTCTGATTCATGCCCGGTTATTTCAAGAAATCTCTCTCCTCCTTCTACCTCTTTTTTTGTTTGCCCCTTTCTCTGCCTTTCTGCCTTTTATGAAAAAAAAAGAAAAAAAAAAAGGACTAGAAAGACTAAAAAGGGAAGAACCATCTGACCAAAATTGTACGTAAGGCAGTATTAATAGCCTTAAATCCAGATGAGTCCATTTCGAAGGTCAATTAGACGTAGAAAAAGCCAGTGTGTCATTCGAGAGAGAGGAAAATAAAACCAGAAAGAGCTGGAACTCTGCAAAAGCCTCACAGAGCTCTCCCCCTGCCTCCTCGCTCCTCCCTGATTACCCTCTCCCTTTCCAAATGTCTTATTTCACTTTTAATTTGGGGTTGACTTTTTCCACTGTGGGTATACGGTATTTCCGCCCTACCATGTTCAACACCACCTTGGGTACCAGCCTCCCCGACGCGCATTTATAACCTCAGTCCTGATGCAGACAGGGTTTCAACGGCTGGCTTCAAACCCCCTTTAAACAGAACAAACCTCGGCACACACCAGCCCACGAGGAGCAGAGAGCACGGTCAGGTGCCTGCCCAGACAGCACCCTTGCTCATGGGCATTACTATCCTGCTGAGGGTCATCATTCCCCAGACACTTAGTCGATCTCCTTGACCCAAGGGACTCATCTGAAAGTCCTGTTGCAGACTTAACTCCAGGGGTCCCAATTTTAAATGAACCTTCCCCACACCATACGACCCCATCACCCCCACCCTTTCTCGAAATACGTGTGTCAAAATTCATTAGTTGAACTCCTTCTCACACATCCTGACTTGTTGAGGACACTCTTTCACTAGTAAGAAATTCTAGGTTCTTTCATCGAGCTAATACTTTTTTATCACGAACGGTTAACAACACGTAGGTAACAACATGTAACAACATACAACCATTTGCTCACACAAATGGTTTAGATTGGGGTCAGCGAACTTTTTGCAGAAAGAGCCAGATAGTATATATTTTCAGTTTTGCAGGTCACACTGTTCTATCGTGACTGCTTAGGTCTGCCGTCATAGTGCGGGAGAAGTCCTAGGCAATCTACAAACAGTGAGCAAGGAGGTATGCCAATAAAACTTTATTCACAAAGCACAGACAGCAGGCCAGATTTGGCTAGTGGGCCCTAGTTTGCCAACCCCAGGTTTGAAACACAGGCTCTCGAGTCAAATGGATCCGGGTTCGAATCCCTGTTCCTGTGATTTACTAGTAAATTTGGCAGATTCCTCAATCTCTCTGTTTCCCCTTCTGCAAAGTGAAGATCACAGAAGAACTAACCGACCGACCCTTATTAATGAATGGTGACCACATGCCGAGCAGTTCACGTTCAGCCTCTTGTCTGCCCCTCACGCTCACCCAATGCAGGAAGCACCGTTTCTGTCCCCATTGTGCAGATAGCGAGACCGGGGCTTCTCTTGCTTCTTACCTGCCCAAGGTCACGCACCCAGGAACGACTGACCTGGGACTGTGATCTCGGCCTGCTCTAGATCCCCTACTCCTAGGTGCCCACAGTCTCCCCCCCCCCCCCCCCCCGTGGGGTCATTGTAGCAGTAAAGAGCGAACCCGGGCAGTGGCTGGCACAGAGTCCAGATTCCTGCCATGGTAACTATGTCTGTTAAAACAACAGTCATTGACTTTCAGGATTTGGAGGAAAGCATTGCTCAAGAGAAAAACAGAGCAAAAGAAGCATTAGAAGAAGAACAGAAGAGAGTCCAAGAGCTGGAGAATCGCCTAACCCGCCAGCAGAAGGTAAGCAGCTGGGGGAGACAGTCCACCTGAGCCCCGTCAAGATCCTGCCCCCAGGAAGGACCGACCTCGGGCTCTGATCTGAGCCTGCCTGCTCTGGGTCCCTTGCTCCTAGCTGCCCCGTCTGCCCCGTGGGATTGTGGTGAGCAGCAAAAAGCTACCCTTGCAGTTCCTGGCACAGAGTCCAGATTCCTGCCATGGTAACTGTGTCTATCAAACAATGGCCATTGGATTTCAGGTTTGGGAGGAAAGCATTGCTCAAGAGAAAAACAGAGGGAAGGAAGCATTAGAAGATGAACAGAAGAGAGTCCAAGAGCTGGAGAGTCGCTTAACCTGCCAGAAGGAGGTATGCAGGGGGCGGGGGGGGGGGGGAACCGGGGCTCAAGCCCAAACCTGGCTTGAGGGCCACGTGGCAGTGAGTTCCGAGCCACAGGTGATGGGGGTAGAGCGTGACAGAGCTTTCCTACAGCGATCAGTCCTTGGGAGGGCTCTGCTACCCCGGGACGCTTGGGAGCTCAGGGAGAGAGCTGTGGAGTTGTAACCTTGACAGCCAGTCAGAAAAATTGTAAACAGCACAAAATACAGTCACAGAGAGGACTTGGGAGACAAGTTGGGGCTGGTGACCTGAACATCTTCGGCCTAGAGATTATGTCCCAAAGCATAGATGTGGAGAAGGTACAGAGTCCCGGGACTTCAGGGCTGTGTCAGTCCTCCAACGACATCCTAAAATCATCCAGCCTTCAGCTCCACCATTAAGGAATTTTCGACAGGCCAGGCAGTCCGTCCCAGTGGTGATGCCTTCGGCTGGCAGAAAATTCTTCCTTTTGGTTAAGTGCCTCAAACTCATTCTCCCAGAAGAGCATCACTGGCTCCTGTAAGACCTGTCCCCCTCCTCGTCCACATAATAACCTTTCAGCTGCTTGGAAATAGAGACACCTGCTCCTCTCCAGACCCGAATGCCCTTGTGTCTCCTTATGTGCATCCCAGGGTTGGAGCCTGGCCTTGGTCCCCTCCCCTGACCTGTCCTGTTGTCCAGAAGTCACAGATTGGCTGCTCACTGGCTGGAAAGGGCGTGTGGACATGTTAACGTTTGGCCCCAGAGTGTTTTATTTTGAATTCATAAAATATACTTAAAAATCCAGATTTCCAGGCACCCGGGTGTCTCAGTGGTTACGGGTTGAACTCTTGATCTCAGCTCAGGGCGTGATCTCGTGGTTCATGAGATCGAGCCCCGCATCAGGCTCTGCGCTGACAGTGTGGAGCCTGCTTGGGATTCTCTCTCTCCCTCCCTCTGCGCCCCACTCCCACTCGTGTGCATGCCCTTTCTCTCCCTCAAAAATAAACAAACATTTTAAAAAGTCCAGATTTCCTTCCTCTCCTGAAGAGTCAGCCGACCTGGCCCCATTTCCACTTGGTGGAACTGGACGGGAGCTCAGCCAAGTAGCAGTGATTTCGCACGGCCCTCACCACACCCTGTTGCGGTAAACGCAGCCCGCTTTAGTGCCGGTACCTGTCTGGCCTCTGTAGATGTCTGAGTTTGCAACCCATGGGCTGTTTTCTTCCCAAACCGGACCCGGTTCCCTGGCCATGGTGGCCCAGGCCAGGACTCTGCTCCCTCCTTGAAGACGTCATACCTGTACTGACGTTCCCACGCCAGCTTTGGGGCAAGCGCCGTTACATTGTCGACACGGGTTTATCTTGGGGTCACCCTTGGACCGCGAGGTCTCTTTCACGCACTGCTCTCGTCAACTCTTCAGTCGTGAAGCGGCACAGAGGCCTTGCAGCCAGACGAGACACGGGTTCGAATCCCGGCTGGACGACTTACTGGCCACAGAGGTCTCAGTACCTCCCTTCTTTTAAACGGTGGCCGTGAGGCGTTGGCGGTCACGTGCAGCAAAGTGTTGGACCCAGAACTGCTGCTCCGTAAACGTCGCCGTGATCACCACTCGTGTATCTTGTGCAGGCACTTCTTCCCCATCAAGCCCCTCCGTACCCTCACTCCTCAGAGGAAAGTCCTCGCCCACCCGCCGCGGGAGGCATAAGGTCAATCTGATCTGTTCCAAGGAGGGAAGATATTTATGTCCCAGGTCTCCTGCACAGCCGTGCTCTGCTGCCCCAGGCAAACAGTGTCACTGAGGCCTGGCCCTGAGTTATCTCTCCGGGGACAGTGACAAGGAGCAGAAACTCCTGAGGGTTCCCTGGGGCCAAATGCCACCAAGAGGTCAACGGCTCAGCTCAAGAGCCTGGAGAAGGCCCTTGAATTTAGAGACGTTGAGGTCACAGGGGACTTCAGGAGAGATATTTAAGGAAGCGCGATGAGGTCAGCCTCACAGCGGGGAGGAGCCTCACCCCAGGCCCAGGCGAACGTCGGCCCACCTCTCCTGGCAGAACCTCTCGGCAGTTTCTCTCTTTTCTTTTTTTTTCTCTGGGGTTTCTTGACGCAGAGTCTGAGATAAAAGTCCCAGACACAGACTCTAACCAACCTCAAACTGGTATTCGATTTTTCTTTTTATTAGACCTGCTGCCACATTTCCAGATGAATCTTTAAGGACAGCAGAATGCTAGTTCATGATGGGGGTTTTGAGGTCACCGCTAGAGGTTAACTCCCATCACCTGCCCAGGAACTTGGGAGCAAAGCGGCTGAGGGGGACAGAGCCCGTGTGTGTGTGAGTCACGCAAGGGACAATCTTCGTCTCCTTCAAAGGAGCTGCCGAGAGGAAGGTCGGTCCTGAGTGTAGTTGTGAGATCAGAGGCCGTGGAACCTACTCGAAGTCCCTGGGAAGTGGCCTCGAGTCTCTTTCACAAATTACAGGAAAATGTCTTACCGGAATCCCACCTCACACGTTCAAAATCCACGGTGTTACTGCTTTTCTGCTTCATTTAGGTGCTATGGGAACAGCTGAGCGTTGGGATTTCTTAAGCGGCTTTTCACTGCAAAATATATAGTATTTCAGCTACGTTACGGCTTAAAAACGCCAGGCAGCCTGACCTGGGACCCTGACCACTGGTTATATAACGGAAACCAGGTTCCGAGTTCCAGACGTCTTGCAGCCAAGCTGATGCTTATGACTCAACCCCGTTGGAAGTTGAGGTGCCCTTTCTGCCAGTGACTGGAAACAGGGGCCTCGCCACTAATCCGTATCTTTGTGATTTGCATGAGGCCATTTAACTGAATAGCTTATCAGCAAATAACTTCCTAAATAAAATTCCACGAGCACGAGCGCCTAACCACACTCTCTTCCCTCTGTCCTCTTGGAGCGTCACTTGTGAGGTTCACCCCTGCCCGCCCCTTCCAGAAATTGCTCTGTTGTGGCTCATGAATGTGGGACACCGCCCTCATCCTGAGGCCTGATTCTCTTTAAGAGATTTATTTCAGTGATAGGAAATCCATTATTAATGAGCTTCTCCTTCTTATCGGAGAGACTGCCTGGCACAGGGACGAGAGCTCAGACTCCAAAATAAGACGGGGGCGCCTGGGTGGCTCCGTCAGTTACGTGTCTGACCTCTTGGTTTCGGCTCAGGTCATGATCTCCTGGTTTCGTGGGTTGAAGCCCCACGTCAGGCTCTGCCTGGAGCCTGCTTGGGATTCTCCGTCTCCTCTCTCTCTGCCCCTCCCCACTTGCGCTGTCTCTGTCTCCCTCAAAATAAAGAAACTTAAAAAAATTTTTTTTTTTTTAAATTAAAAAAAGACCTGTTCACTTGCCCTCACCAAGGGCCTCTGTGCACGCGCGTAGGGCACTTTTCCTCTGCACAGGGCTCAACCCCTGACCTCACCACCAACAGACTGCATGACCCCTGGGCCTTCACCGTCTGTTCCTCAGTTTCCTCATCTATAAAATGGGACCACCGACTCCTCCACCCGGGAGAGGGTTCGCTGGATGTGAAGTGCCAGCCACGAGCCCTGGCACGTGATGCCAACCCGGAGTTTTAGCTACTATCACCATTAGCATAATGAGCAGTGTTCCCTCCCCCCCCCCCCCGACCCCAAACATGCAGGCGACCAAAAAGGCTGGTCATTGATTTTCAGGCCGACGAGAAAAGGAAAGCAAGGGAAGCGATAGAGGCAGAAAAGAGAAAAGTTCAAGATCTGGAGAACCACTTGACCCAACAGAAGGAGGTATGAGAAGCAGAGAGAGAAGTGGGGCCGTCCAAACCCCTGCGGAAGGAGCCCCGAAGCCAGGCGCGAGGCCGCGATTCCGCGCCTGGACGTAGAGTCTGGCAGGAGAGTGGGCAGGCGCTGGGCAGCACGCGGCCGAAGTCACACGCAACTTAACTAGCCGTGTGGCCCGGGGCAGGTCACTTAGCCTCCTATGCCTCAGTTGTCTCCTCTGTAAACTGGGAGTCGTAACGGTCCCTGCCTCTCAGGGCCAAGCGGATTGATGTATACAGAGTACCTAGAACCGCGCCTTGCCTGTAGACGCTCGGCTCCCCAGGGAAGAGAGACGCGCTCCGGGAGAGAACCCTTGGTCTGGAGTCTGGGTCAGTCCCTCCGCCAGCACCTTCCTCCTCCTCATTCAGAGGTGTTCGTGACACGGCCCAGCGTGGCACCTGACTCTGGTCTCCCGGCTTCATGACCTTTTGTGGAGACCCAGGCAGTGCGGAGTAAGACGGCGTGGACACGCTCACGTGGCAGTCACACAAATAAGTACCAGGGTCTGGGATGGATGAGAAGAAGTGTACCCGCAGGGAGAGAGTGACAGTGATTCGGGCAGGCCCGAGTGCCGTGCCCGGGGAGAGCCGGAGGCATCCGCCAGCCCGGGCCTGGGCCCAGCAGCCACACCTGCCTGGAGCCACCACTGAAGGCCGGCCCACGGCTGAGAGGGGGGGTGTCGCTCAGGTTAGCCCAGACACCCACACCGTCCTCCGGCCCCCCGAGAAATCAATGAAGGGCTCTCAGGAGCTGGAGGCCAGGGAGAGGCGACCTGTAGTGACAGCTCCACGAGCTGGGCTCCGGGACACGGGGGGCACGGGCACTGGACACGTGCCGGCTCCCCTGGAAGTTCCAGAAACAGGGCTAATGACTCCATGGATTGCTTAATCCTGTCGCGTTCATCCATCCACAAATGCTTCCCGAGCGCCCGGCACGTGCCAGGCCCCGTGGGGCGCTGGGGACACGGCTGAGCACGAGACGGACCAGGGCCGTGCCCTCCCAGAGCCTCCACACTAGGCCAGAGGGAGAGACACCACATAAGTGCACGGGGTAACCGCAGAGCCCCAAGCCTGGGGGAAGATCAAACAGGCGGGCTAGAGGTGACCGCAGGCAGGGGGGGGCCTCTCTGAGGGGTGACACGTGAGTGAGAGCTGGAGGGGCGACGGAGCGCGAAGGGAACACCCGGGGGGAGAAAGTGCCACTGGCTACAGTGGCCCAACTGCAGAGGACGGGGACGTGGCTTCGCCAGGGGGACGGGGGCAGCACCGTGACGAAGGGAGCAAAGCTGGAACGAGACGGAAGCCAAGTGAGGGGTCGGGGAAGGGAGCCACACGGGGGAAAGCAGCAGCGCTTGGGAGGCTACAAGTGTCGGTTCTGGTCCGTGTCCCCAGCCCTGCCCTACCAGGCTGTGTGACCCTGGGCGAGCACCTTGCCCTCTCTGTGCAGCCATCTGTAACGTGGCTGTAGAGACAGAACCACCGTAGAGATTTGTTGTGCGGAGTCGTTGTGTTCGTTATGAGCCACCTACCCGGGTGAGCGCGGGGGCGGGGTGGGGTGGGGCGGGTGGTGCGCTGGGGGCGGGGGGCGGGGGCGGGGGGGGGGGGGAGGGCAGACAGTCGAGCAGAGACCTCGGCAGCAGGACCCTGTCGGCCCAGGCAGGAAGTGAGGTCAAACTGTTGTCAGCTGCTGTGCCCGGAGGGTCCCGTATACAAGTGGGCCGGGGGTGGGGTCTCGAAGCTCGGGGGCCCTGCGGTGGCGGGGCGGTGGCCTCTGTGCCAGACTAGCAGCGAGCATACAAGCAGGTCTGTGCCTCTGGGCGGGCTGGGGTTTTAATCAGGAGGACGCGGAAGGCAGGCTCCGGACGCCGGGTGGCAGGACGGGTAGGTCGGGACCCAGGTGCCCAAGCGTGCGCCCCCGCTCCCCGGTGGCATGATGTCTGCGCGCTGCCCGTCCTCTTCCTCCGCTGCAGTCCCCGTGTGCTCACGGGTCAAATGTGGGTGACCGGGCAGATGCCATCTGGGGGGTTGCGGATGAGATAGCGCACGGTGGCTGGCACTCACGTTGCCGGCCTTTCGAGAGGAGTCGGCATCGTCGTCACTATCTTCAACGGTGACGAGCCGGGCAGCGCGTAATCCCACGGGGCGTGCGGAAGGGGGCTGGCAGCCTCTTACGACTGGCGGGGCGGGGGCCGGACCGTCTTAAGCAGACTTGGCAGTGGGAAAATGCCAAGCTCGTGCCGGAAGGTGAGTCAGAGCCCAGGTGGGGTGGGAGGCCCGGGCAGGGCAGGGCAGGGCGGGGCAGGGCAGGGCGGAGGGAGGCCGCGGACACGCCAGGGCCGTCGGGAAGACGGTCTTCTCCAGGGCCACGCATCCCCGGAGCCTCGTCCCAGCCCCAGCAGTCGTCTTCCCTGTTCCGATTTCCGATCCATTTTCTTTTTGCCCAAATAACGTACATTCGCTCAACAAAATGTGGAAGACACAGACCAGTGGGAAGAGGGAAATGTAAATTGCCATAATCTCAATCCCCCAAAATAACCGCTATTTACATTTCAGTATGTATCGCTTCAGGGCTTTGTGCATATATGCATAAATTCAAAATATTTTTTGGTGAACTTTGTGTTCAGCAAACAAGAGTTTTCCAACCCCCTGCACCGCGTCCCTCCTGGGCTGATGTAGGCGAGGCTGGGCCTCAGTCCCCTCCCCGTCACCGGACCTGGGGGCTATATGTTCTCTGTTCCAAACGGTCCTGCACATCCATTTGTGGACCCAAGCCTTTGAAGGCCAGAGACTGAAGCCACGGACATCAGGCCTGCTGGGACAGGAGGCGCCCCTCCCCCCCCCCCAACTCAGGCTCTCCTGCCCCATCTCCCGAGAAGCCAGGTACTTCCCAACAAGGGCCCACACTGATGCCAACACAGGCCGGTGCAGTTGGTGGCCCAGCTCCAAATGCCTGGACCCAACCACTCACCAGCGCGTCACTTCCTGAACACAGCCCAGAAATCCTGAGTGATGAACAACCCTCTCCGTTATGCGGTGACTGACCAGACACGACCTCCAGGTCCTCGCTGTGGCGGGCGTGCCAAGACTCGCATCCCTCTCTCCGATGGGCCGCGAGCATCCTGTTCCTTGAGCCCTCGCTCCCAAACCCTGACTCACTGATCTCCATGATTAGCAATCCTGGCTTCCCTCAAGGTTCCGTTGTCCCTCCTTTCTCAAGTACGCTCCCTCAAACCGGTTGTCTCTGACTTCCAGATCTCAGAGAGCAGCATCGCCTACGAGAAACACAAAGCAAAAGAGGCCATAGAGAAGGAAAAGAAAAAGGTGCGAGATCTGGAGAACCGAATAACCAAGCAGAAGGAGGTAAGAGTCTCGGAGAGGAGCAGACACGGAGGAGCCCAGCACGGTTGAGAGCAGGGGTCTGGAGGCAGGAAGGCTGGGTTCAGATCTTACCTCTGCCACTTGCTGGCTGTGCAGCCTGAGGCAAGTTTCTTACCACCTCTGTGCCTGTGGTTCCCCACCTAGGAAATCCGGGTGATGCCAATAGACCAGCCTCATCGACTTGTGAGGCTTGATCGCTAACAAGCACACCCGCGCACAAAAAAGCACGCAGCACTCAGTGGATGTTCTGTGTGTTAGCTGCTTTTATTATTTTTTATCGGTACTATTATTATGAGTCCGCATCTAGGAAGTGGAGGGGCAGAACCAAACCCAGGACTGTCTGACTCCAGAACCCTGCATTGTCCCCTCCTCTCGCTCCTATCCTGTGCGTGGGCTCAGCTGCCTGGGGCCAAAGAGGGGATGTCAGGAGATGGGTGCCTAAATTGCCAGCCACCTCGACAGCGATGTCTCCACCGGAACTTGTCATCGTGATTATCACGACCTTCCCAGTCAAACTGCATTCACGATTATCCCTGGGAGCAGCAGACACAGTGGGAGCACAGGCTTTTGCACAGGACCCCATCTTAGGCACCTCCTAGCTGTAGGACATAATTCACTCCTCCTGGGTCCCAACAGTACAAGGGACACACACACACACACACACACACACACACACACACAGGAGTTAATATCGCAGAATTCAAGGCAAGGGATTAAACACACAACCTCACCGTAGGGGGTTAAATATAAATTTAAATATAAATTTTAAATTTAAAAATAAATTTAAATTTAAAATGGCAGGTAAATACCATTTCAAAGGATTTTGAAGACCGGATGGGACTAAAAATGCCTTTGAGTCCATTCACATCACTCTTCTGATCATTTTCTTCGAAGAAAGTTTCCCCAACATTAGCATGCATAGGATCACTTAGGGTGGTTTTCAATGCCCATTCCCTGGGCCTCACCCCCGGGAAGAGAGAGATTTGCAATCACTGTCTATAGGGTGGACTCCCCAATCCCAAGGGGACTGGACGAGCCGCCCAAGTGATGTGCTGTGCTTGGAACAACACTACTCCAGAGCAGTGAGTGTCTGTAAACCACATCCGGATTAGCATCCATCCCAGGCACTGCTTTTTTTTTTTTTTTTTTAAGTTTACTTGTTTATTTTGAGAGAGAGAGAGGGAGCGAGCATGAGTGGGGGAGGGGCAGAGAGAGGGAGGTGGAAGAGAGAGAATCCCAAGCAGGCTCCACACTGTGGGCACAAGGCCCAATGTGAGGCTCAGTCCCACGAAGCGAGACGTCATGACCTCAGCCAAAATCAAGCGTCAGATGCTTAACCAACTGAGCCACCCGGGTGCCCTGAGAAATTAACATTTTTCAAGTAGATTCGTCAGGACATCAAATGGATCAGGAAGGAGGTGGATGCTAAAAACAAAAAAAATGTGGATCAGTGAAATTGATGAACCGTCACAGGATTTACTGTAGCAGTTACAGTGGAAGCGAAGACGCAGGTGGCTGTACAGCTGTCTAGATGACAATGGTCCGAATCAAAACCACAATGAGATACCACCTCACACCTGTCGGAAGGGCTAACATTAACAACTCAGGCAACAACAGATGTTGGCGAGGACGCGGAGAGAGAGGATCTCTTTTGCCTTGTTGGTGGCAATGCAAGCTGGTGCGGCTACTCTGGAAAACAGCATGGAGGTTCCTCAAAAAACTAAAAATAGAACTACCCTACGACCCAGCAATGGCACTACTAGGCATTTATCCAAGGGATACAGGTGTGCTGTTTCGAAGGGACACATGCACCCCCATATTTATAGCTGTACTATCGACAGTAGCCAAAGTATCGAAAGAGCCCGAATGTCCATTGACAGATGAATGGATAAAGATGTGGTATATATACACAATGGAGTATTACTCGGCAATCAAAAAGAATGAAATCTTGCCATTTGCAGCTACGTGGATGGAACTGGAGGGTATTATGCTAAGTGAAATTAGTCAGAAAAAGACAAATATCATATGGCTTCACTCACACAAGGACTTTAAGAGACAAAACAGATGAACATAAGGGAAGGGAACAAAAATAATATAAAAACAGGGAGGGGGACAGAACATAAGAGACTCTTTTTTTAAAAAAAATTTTTTTTAACGTTTATTTATTTTTGAGACAGAGAGAGACAGAGCATGAACGGGGGAGGGTCAGAGAGAGAGGGAGACACAGAATCAGAAACAGCCTCCAGGCTCTGAGCTGTCAGCACAGAGCCTGATGCGGGGCTCGAACCCACGGACCGCGAGATCATGACCTGAGCCGAAGTCAGATGCTTAACCGACTGAGCCACCCAGGTGCCCATAAGAGACTCTTAAATATGGAGAAGAAACAGAGGCTTGCTGGAGGGGGTGTGGGAAGGGGGATGGGCTAACTGGGTAAGGGGCACTAAGGAATCTACTCCTGAAATCATTGTTGCACTATAGGCTCACTAACTTGGATATAAATTTAAAATAAAATGAAATGAAACAAAATGAAACAAAACAAAACAAAATAAAATAAAATAAACATTTCAAACCAAAGCCAAGCAAAAAAAAAAAAAAAAAGAAAAGAAAGAAAGAAAATGGGCTGATTGTTCATGGATATTGGGCCATTCTTGGTACTCGACCCTGAGAGGATCTCTCCCAAGGATCATCACATAGCGTATCCAACAACATCCTCAACAACCTTAGAACGACAGTGACATCAGAGGGTTGAGGTCTTGTGACAGCCCGCAAGTTACCCTGGTGGCATCACACCAGACACGGAGAATCGGGACCCCCCCTCCCCAGGAACTCGCCATTTACCAGGAAAGACCAGGGAAGTACAAGGTCAAAGAACCACCCAGACACAGAGTTGTTTATTCCCGTGCTGTTACACTCGTCTACACAGAAGAACAAGGGGACGATTGAGGTTCGCCGAAGCGGGCATAAGAGAAAGAGGAGAGAAGGGAGAAGAAACATCAATCCAGACCCGTGCGGACGGTGGACTTTGTTCCTGTCCTCGAGGAAGCGGCCGAGCTGCCGGCAAGGAGCAGAGACGCCGGACACTGTCCTCTGCCCTGGGGTGGCTTCGTGGCCCATCAAAGAACGCGTTGGCTTGCTGTGGATTCGCCGGGACAGCCGGGGGGTCTTGCCGTGAGCTGTAGGTGACAGGCTGCTCTGTGGGGCATGCCTGCCAGTGTCCTCAGCGAGCACCTTCTTCGGCCAGGTCTGCACCTTGTCCGCCCTGGGATTTCTCAACGGTGACAGCGATGGTAAGGCCCCCAGACAGAATCGGCTGGAGTTCAGTGGCGACACGAAGGGACTGGAGCAACTCCCCGGCGAGGCTCCCACGAGTCACACGGTGAAAAAAGGGCTTTTCCTATTGTTTTTAAATCCGTTTCCTTTCCCAGTGATAAAAGGAGCAACTATTTGCTCTAAAAATTTTGAAGAAAATCTAAAACTACCCATGAGTCCACTGAGCGCATTTACCATTAGTGACATTTTGATAGGATTCCTTCCAGACCTTCTACGTGCTGATCATTATTATAGACCTCGACACCCAGCAGTTCCGTTACAAAGTGACTTACCCTGTGAACACTGTGTACGCTGATCTGAATGCTTTTTTTTTTTTTTAACTTAATACATTACAAAAATGTCTCTAGGTCATGAAACATTCTTCCAATACCTGCCTTGGATGGATAACCTGGGTTTGCACTCCGTTGAATGGACCCCAGTTTATTTACCTCCCCCGCCTCCCCCACCCAGCGGTTGGGCACTGGGGCTGTTTGCGTTTTCACCGGAGGAAAAACAGCGCTTGGCTGAACATCCCCGCGCATCAGTCCTTGTGCAGGTGTGAGGCGACGTCCTTAGGACAGATTCCCGAAAATGGAATCACTGGGTCACGGCGGGTAAACGTTTTCAGCCTTTTGATGTACGTTCCCAGTGACCTTCCAAGAAGGTCATGCCAGTGCACGCTGCCACCAACAGAGTCTGACGATGCCCGGCACCACACCTCAAGGATGTATTTCAGGTTGGATTAAACAACGCTCGTGAAAAGGCTGCACGCGCACGGTGTGATTGCAACTATGCCTGTGACGTTCTGGAAAAGGCAGAAGTATGGAGACGGCGAAAGGACCAGGGGTCGGCGGAGGGGAGGGGGGAATGGGTGCAGCACAGAGGACTTTCAGGGCAGCGAAACTACCGCGTGTGATAACGTAATGGTGGATTCGTGTCCTCATACGTTTGGTCAGACGCGCGGAGGGCACGGCAGGGAGTGAACCCTAGAGTAGACTATGGGCTTTGGGTGAGCGTGAGGTGTCAATGCCAGTTCATCAGTTAGAACAAAGGTACCAGCTGGTGCGGGGTGTGGATGATGGGGGCGGGGGTGTGGATGATGGGGGCGGGGCCTCCGGCGGGGGATGAGAGCACACGTAAGAGGGCTCTGCGTTTTCCTCTTGATTTTGCTGTGAACCTAAAACTCTTTTTTTTTTTTTTTAATATAATTTATTGTCAAATTGCCTAACATGCGGTGTGTACCGTGTGCTCTTGGTTTTGGGGGTAGATTCCCGTGGTTCATCGCTTACATACAACACCCAGTGCCCACCCCAGCAAGTGCCCTCTTCAATGCCCATCACCCATATTCCCCTCTTTATTTTTTTTTTTAATTTTTAATGTTTGTTTATTTTTGAGAGAGAGGGAGACAGGGTATGAGTGGCAGGGGCAGAGAGAGAGGGAGACACAGAATCCGAAGCAGGCTCCAGGCTGTCAGCACAGAGCCCGACGCGGGGCTCGAACTCACGGACTATGAGATCATGACTTGAGCTGGTCAGACACTTAACCGACTGAGCCACCCAGGTCCCCCAGATTTTCCCCTCTTTCAAAATAAAGTCAAGTAGGAGCGCCTGGGTGGCTCAGTCAGTTGAGTGTCCAGCTCTTGATTTCAGCTCAAGTGTTGATCTCACAGTTCGTGGGTTCGAGCCCCACGTCGGGCTCTGCGCTGACAGCACGGAGCCTGCTCGGGACTCTCTCTCTCTCTCTCTCTCTCTCTCTCTCTCTCAAAATAAGTAAATAAACTTACAAAAAATAAAGTCAAGTAAATGAACAAAGTTTGTGAAGCCCCCACCACAGGACCTGTCACAAAGCTCACATTCCACGAGGTTGAGGAGGGACTCAGGAAGGAGAGTGGAATTGGACACTCCGGGGCTGGAAGAGCGCGTTCCAGGAAGAGGAACGAGGCGATTAGAGTCCACCTTGCCGGAGCCCAGAGCGAAGAGGGGAGGGCCTCCCTCCAAAGCCAGGGAGGAAGGTGCTGGAGGCAGACCCTGTGGCAAAGGGCTGAAGGAGCTCGGCCCATTTATCCCGGAAAATAAATTTAGACAGAGACATGGGCGCCTGGGTGGCGCAGTCGGTTAAGCGTCCGACTTCAGCCAGGTCACGATCTCGCGGTCCGTGAGTTCGAGCCCCGCGTCGGGCTCTGGGCTGATGGCTCAGAGCCTGGAGCCTGTTTCTGATTCTGTGTCTCCCTCTCTCTCTGCCCCTCCCCCGTTCATGCTCTGTCTCTCTCTGTCCCAAAAAAATAAATAAACGTTAAAAAAAAAAATTAAATTAAAAAAAAAAATTTAGACAGAGACATGACATCCCTCCTCAAATATTTAAAGGGCCGTCTCGTAAAATAGGAGTAAAACTTACTCAGTGCGCTCCAGGTAGCAGAACGAAAACACCTCCTCTCTGGAAGCAAGGGGAGGGGGGCGGTAGGGTAAACGCTTATTCCTGACTTTCTGTTAATTTGCTGTTTGCCGTTTGTCCAGGAAATAGACTTGAAAGTGCAAAAAGAAGATGTTTTAAATAATAAGTTAAATGACGCGCTGGCCATGATAGAAGAGATTCAGAAAACCAAGATGGCTGAGAGCCTGAAAGCTGAGAGCCTCAGCATGAAATTAAACGAAACGTTAGCCGAACTGGAAACGGCCAGGACAAAAATGGTGAGCTGGTGCCTTCCAGGGACGGGAGACTCTTTCCCTCAGTGAAAGATCATGATACCGGGAGAACTCATGATTTAGACCGGGGGCTCTCAGCCTGGGCACTGCTGGTGTTCCAGGTTGGATAACCCCTTCCTGTGTGCGGCTGTCCTGTTCATCACGGGCTGCTTAACATCGTCCCTGGTCTCTACCTGCTAGATGTCAGTGGCATCCTTCCCCCGGTTGTGGCAACCCAAAATGTCTTCAGACTTTGCCCAATGTCCTTGGGGGGGGGTGGGGGGCACAATCACCCTCTATTGAGAAGCAGTGGTCTAGTCTGAAAGGTAAACAGAGGCTACGATGGCCTCTCTCCAGGCGTTGTAAGGTGTAACGCAGGGTCCTTACAGCATCTGGCTGAAGGACTGAGCAGCCCCAGAACCTAGTGATCAGTGACTATTCCACAGACTTGAAGGTGATGTTTTAAAATTTTTAGCTCGGCATTCAAGGCCCTCCATCCTCGGGGCTCAATATTTCACTCATTTGTCATTCGTACACGCAACCAACAGGTCTGTGGGCAAGGAGGTAATAGAGGCTTCATCGGGCAGAAGCGCCCCAAAGGTGAATTTGAGAGGGACTAGAGTAGGAGAGGCCAGCTCAGGCCGGGGCACACAGTGGCCATTACAGAGTCTAGGCTCATAAGGACCTGCGCACAGGAGCAGGCCAGAAGGAGTTCCGACAAGAGAAATGGCAGGACTCGATAACTGATTGACGGGACATGAGCACCAAGGAGAGGAGGGTGCTGATCGAGACAGCCTGGGCTGTCAGGGCACCCAGGGCCACGATGGCATATGGGTGACGTGTTGATGGGAACATGGAGGTCACGGTGGCTCTTGTGGGGCAGGGTCTCTGTTGCAGAGAAGACGAAGAATTCAGACTTCGGCGCAGGTGGGGTCTCAACGTTCGACAGTGCCCCAAACTTTTGGCGGTCCAATAGATGTGGGGGGAAAGCAAGAGAGCCAAGAAACGTGTGGTCGGAGAAGCAGGAGGGGGCGAGGAATGAGGCACTGGAGACGGAGGGGCAGGGCGGCCACGGGAAGGGGTCCGATTCACCACTTGGTGATGATTGGTAGCTTTTGCTTTTAAGAACTACGAATGCCTTGGCCTTTTCTTACAACGTTGTCCATTCATTAATTCAACCAACATGTACCGAGCAGGGATGCAGGCTGTGGGTCCGCTGGTAACTAAGGCGAGTTTCTGCTCCCCCGGACCTTCCGTTCTCGCGGGAATGGGAAAGAAGCGAGATCGTGCAGATCACGGAAAATGAAAGAGGATGACGGACTAGAGAGCTGTCTCGGGCTTCTCCTTTAGACAGGCAGTCAGGAAGGGCCTCTCCGAGGAGGCGCCATCGGAGCTGAGACCTGACGCGCGCGAGAAGGAGTCAGCCATGCGAGGAGCTGGGGGAGGAGGGTACCATGCAGAACAGACAGCCCAGGCAAAGGCCCCGAAGTGGGTCTGAGTCCCGTGCCTGTGGGTGCCAAGGGGGCATCTCGCTCTCGTCGTCAGTGGCGTCACGCCCGGCTCCCAGGAGCACACGGACCCCCTGTTCCCCCAGACGGTGATGGAGGAGCGGCTGCAGCACACAGTAAAGGCCCTCCGGGACGAACAGGAAGCACAGAAACACGGATTTGAAACCGAAGTCGTGGAATACAAGGAGCAAATCAGACAGCACTCCCAGACGATCGTGAGCCTGGAAGAAAGGCTGCAAACAGTGACCGCGCGCCACAGAAAGATAGAAGGAGAGATTGCAACTCTGAAGGACAACGACCCAGGTCGGTCCAAAGAAATGCCGAGCAGGCATTAGCGTTCGGGACAGGGCCTGGTCACCCTGCGGGTCCCCATAGGCTGATGGGTAGGAGAAGGCTGCCCCTCGCTCATTTACTGTCTGCAGATGCTCTTTGCTTCCTGTTACACCGCAAGGTTGGGGCCCTCGAGGCCCACGTCAGACAGAAGTCACAGCAATGCGAAGGGACGTCCTTTGTGCCGAGCCAGTGAGCCGGTGGGGATGCACAGGCTGCCGAGGGTATCAGAGCAGCATGACAGAGGGTGTCCTTTCCGCATGAAAACATCCTGCGCGGGGGCCTTTCAAAGGCTTCTCTCTGCCCTCAGCAATTTGCGACTTTGTCTAACGGACTTTCGTCGCCAGCCAGTGTTGGTCTCTTAAAAAAATAAACCCAAAAGGGCTGACAAAAGAACTCAGAGCTGTGGGCACTTACTCACCCCAAATGACCCAGGCAACGCAATACATTGCAAAGACGCTGAGCTCTCGGGGGGAGAGTTCTGGAACTGGAGGCCTCGGACCAGGGTTTCTCGACCCCGGCTCCAGTGACATTTGGAACTGGCTAGGCCTTTGTCGCGGGGGCCGTCCCGCGCACTGTGGGCGTTGAGCAGTGTCCCTGGCCTCCACCCCCTGCACGTCAGCAGCACCCCCACCCCAGTGGGACTACCAGAACCATCTCCGGACGTTGCCAAGTGTCCCTGGCCGGGGTGGGGGGGCACACTCGCCCCTGATTGAGAACCACGGTCTTGGTTGTCAACCGAATTCCCGCCCTGACAGGTGACCCAGGGTGAACAGGGCACTGTGACAAGGGCATGAAGCAGGACTCAGTTTCCCAATCCAGTTCCAGGTCAGAGGGAGGACAGTTGAGCTGGGACCCCAAGAATGACTACTTCCTTGTGACCCCACGTTTAGCGCAGTCCCCGCCATAAAGCAGACATTCCATGAGCCCCTGGTGATTGAAAGTGAGGGGGCGAGTGTGTGACTGAGGGTGAGGAGTAAGTGGGAGGCGAGGACAGGACAAGACCTGTCTGGGAGGAGAGGAGGAATAGGGAGGAGGCGCAGCCCAGGGCTTCGGGCTCTGGCTGTCACCAGCTTAGCCGAGTGGCCACCGGCAGGTCCTGTCACTCCTGTGCCCATTTTCCCATCTGAAAATGAGTAGCGAGGAAGATTTCGTGCGCTCGCTCATACGTGGCCGGTGGGTGGGAGCCAGCCGGCGCCACAGAACACATGTGGGGCTTTTTAGGCAGAGAGGGTGGCAGGGTGGGGAGGGTTGCTAAGCTGGAAAAGACGCAGGTGTTCGAGGACAGCGATGACCCTCGCGTGTCCCCCTGATTCAGCCCAGGAGGAGGTGATGCAGCGAGAGCCCCCCGCGGTGCCTCCGACGGAGACCAGTGTCAAAGACGAAGTGGGTGACACCTTGATGTGAGTACCTGAGGGGTGTGTGCACTCGAGGCCGGAGACCCCTGCTTCTGGCCATGTCCTCAGAGCCTGAGAAGAGGTGCAGAGTCCGGGGCCGTCCTGCTGTGACCTGAATTTCTCAGTTCCTTTCGCAAGTCAGGATGGTGGCATGGAAAAAGATCTGGGTGGATCTATGCCCGGATCCCGAAATACAACCCCTTCCAGTTGTGGGGCCCTGGGCCCCCAGTCACGTCACCTTACTGTACCTTAGCTTCCTCGTCTGTGAAAGAAGGAGACACTTGTCATATCTCAGCCTCAGCCCAAATCCAGAGGGGATGCTCTGTTCTCTCGCCATGGGTGTGTTTGCATCGCATTCAGTTTTTGTTCTGAGGGTTTTTAAAGAACGCGCTTATCCCTTCTGCTGGGACTGGTGTCCCGTGGACGCCACTGATGGAGGGTCACTTTGCGTTTCTACTTGGCCCCGTCCGGGTCCAGGCCCTGGGGGTGCCACCGAGCCTGGGGTGAGCTGACGTGGCCCGTTTCTCGTGAATTTCAGAGGGGATCTACTGGCCGCTCAGAAGGAAATCCTGTCTCAGCAGGAGGTCATCATGAGGTTACGGAAAAACCTCACGGAAGCCCACAACCGAATGTCAGACTTGAGAGGTTTGTATGATGGCCTGTGTCTCTTGACTTCCTGACCCGCTTCGAGAAAGAACAGGCTTAAGAGCTGGAAAGGTTGGGGGCGCCTGGGTGGCTCAGTCGGTTGAGCATCCAGCTCCTGATGTCAGCTCAGGTCATGATCTCACGGTTCATGAGTTCGAGCCCCGCGTCGGGCTCTGTGCTGACAGCTCGGAGTCTGGGGCCCCCTTGGGATTCTGTGTCTCCCTCTCTCTCTGCCCCTCCCACGCTCGCTCGCTCTCTCCCTCTCTCTTTCTCTCTCTCTCAAAAAAATAAAATAAACGTTTAAACCGCATTTTTAAATCCCAGTGACCTGCTTTCCTGGGCGGTCACAGCGTTTGTACCTCAGTCAGCAAGACACGTGCCTTATCAGGGGCCACTTGCCTTATCTTCTCCGCCTTGAGATGCAGCTTCTTTGGGGGAGGGGAAAATCTCCTTTTACCTAAGAGGATTTGTCTCTGGAGGCAAAGGCTGGGAGGGAGGGAGTCGTGGGCACAAACCCTAGCCCTCCCCAGCTCTGGGACCTAGAGCGGGGTAATCTCTCCACACCTCCCCTGCCTCTGATGCAAAATCACCTACATCACACCTGCTTCCTGGAGTTGGCTGGACGGCAGGGGCCCCTTACACTGGGGAGGGACAAAAGAGCGCGAGCAAGTCTGGCTGAACATTCCGACTTTGCTCTTCTCGCCCCACCCCCACCCCCGTTCTTTTATTTCGGCCTCTCCCGGCTTCTCGTGGCCCTTCTCCTCCTTCCCAGCGCCAGCCTCCGCGAGGCCGAAAGGCACAGGCAGGCTGTCAGGAGATAAAACCAGGTTTAGGAAAGTCGACAGAGGGCGAGGAACGCTCCTCTTGTCCCCACCTCAAACCCCGTGCACCCCAAAACCTTCAGTGGCATTTGCTCCCCGCGGCTGTAACGGTTAATGCTCCCAAGGCGTTTATGGCCGACTTTTTCAAAGCGTGATTTTCGTTCATGCTGAGGTCTGAGAACGTGTAGGAGAGAGGCCGCCGAGTCCAGCTCTAGAATCGGGAGACATTGGACCCGGTTCTGGGTCTGCTATTTGCTAGTCCCGTGAGTTGTTTAGGCAAGTCACTTTACCTCTCTGAGCCTCAGTTTGTGCATCTGTGAGGCGGGGGTGTTCCTGGTAACTAACCTGTCGGGTTACCATGAAAATCTGAGGCCATGCGAGTGTCTCGGTTTGGATTTTCCCGGAAGCCGACCCTGAGGCCAGAGGGCCAGGATTCCGAGGCAGGTGGTGTATTTGAGAGGCGGTCCCAGGGGGAGGCAGTGGCAGGGGTGCCGGAGAAGCGGGACAGGGACGGGAATAACAGCTGTGCTGTCAGTCAAGGGCAGAGAGGGCAGCTGGGGTTGAGCCCTGCAGGGGAAGGACGCCAGGAGCAGGGTACAAATCAGCCGCCGGGCTGCCCGCCTGAGGGGGAGGAAGCCAGTCTCACCTGCCTCGGCTGGAGGCTGAGAGCAGACTCCCGAGTCCTTAGCACGAACGCCCTTAGGCAAACAGGTGCAGAGGCAGGCAGCTGGAGGTCGGCCAGGGAGCTCAAAAAGCCAGAAGCACAGAGGCGGGGCCCTGACAGCTTCTGGAACCTGGGGCTGTACTCTGCTGTAGTTTGCTAAGGTGCAAGCGGACCCTGGCCATTCCTAACGCCCCCGCCCACCACAGACACACACACACACACACACACACACACACACACACACACACACATCCGGGAGAATTCCTGGAGGGTAGGCCCGCCTCCTGGTTCTTGTAGGCCTGGAAGAGCTGCTGTGGCCCTGGCGGACACCTGAGGCAGGAGACCCCCCTCCCCAGCTTTCCTGTTTCTCCCAGGGGAGCTTAATGAAAAGCAGAAGATGGAACTGGAGCGGAACGTGGCCCTGGTCCAGCAACAAAGCAACGAACTAAAAGCGCTCAAGGAAAAGATGGCGCAGCTGACTGGCCTGGTGGAAAAGAAGGACAGGGAGCTGGAGGTCCTCAAGGAGGCACTCAGGTGTGTGGGAAGGTCCTCATGGGGTGGGGAGCCCAGACACACCCAAGTGCCCAGGGAGCCTCTCACAGAGAGGGTACACAGTAAATCCTGGAGAGATGGATGGATGGATGGATGGATGGATGGATGGATGGATGGATGAGTGGATGGGTAGTTGGTTGGGTGGGTGGATGGATGGATGGATGGGTGGATGGGTAGGTGGATGGGTGGGTGGGTGGATGGATGAAGGATTGGATGGATGGATGGATGAGTGGATGGGTAGTTGGTTGGATGGGTGGATGGATGGATGGATGAGTGGATGGGTAGGTGGATGGGTGGGTGGGTGGATGGATGAAGGATTGGATGGATGGATGGATGGATGGATGAGCGGATGGGTAGTTGGGTGGGTGGGTGGATGGATGGATGGATGGATGGGTAGTTGGGTGGGTGGGTGGATGGATGGGTGACATGTATTTCATGCTTCGCAGCCTTATCATATAAAGGAAGGTTTTGCTTAGTTCTGTGCTCATCAAACATCCCTGCCCCATATCCCAGTGATAGGTCTCTGCTTAAATGCCACTTCCTCCAGGAAGCCCTCTGTCACTCACCCCCACCAAACATAGCCAAGGGCTCCTCCTCTCCCTGGGGTCCCTCATCCCCTGAACTCCATCCAGCCTAGCACTTCTCACATAGCTATGCTACTATTGACTGTTTAATTGTCCGCCTTCCCCACAAGGTCCCTGATACAGATCTTGCCTGCTATTGACTCCCCAGCATTCGCACAGTGCCCAGCACATAGGGAACTTAATGAATATCAATTGAACAAATGTATAAACTGGGGTACCAGAGGTTAGCTTAAAATAAATGTGAAATTTCATTGTCGTCCCACGGGTTAGTCCATGTGAGTTGGCATTTTCATCCATAAAAATACATGTGCGTTTGCATTTTCATCCGTAATGTATCCTTATTTTGACCTGAGAGTAATGTTTTCTCCAAGAAAGGTTGAGTAAAATCCACATCTTGTGAAAAACCCCGTAGCTCTATATGCCTCATGGCTCATAGCCAAGGCAGGTTCACCCAGTGGCTGAAAGAACAGGTTCCGGACCCAGGCTGCCCGGCTTCAAAGCCAGCCTCCTTCACTTACAAGTTTCACGATCGTCGGCAAATTGCTGTGTGTCTGTTTCCTTGTCTGTAAAATGGGACAAGGAGAGTCTCCGGCTCGTGGGACTCTACGTGAAACAGAAGGGTTAACACATAAAAGTGTTAGAAACGGCAGACAGGGAGTACATGTCCCCAGTGAATGCCACAGCAGGTGTCCCACAGACCTAGTATGGGAAACAAGGGTGGACAGGTGCCTACTGTCCTGACCACGACTTTTGAAGTCCCCTGAAACTAAATTCTCTAGAAACCTGCTGGCAGGAGACTTGAAGGCCTAGGGGTTTCGGTTACCTGTAAACACAGAGTTCCTTTTCCCGTTCTGCCAGTGGCTACAAAGGTCACTCGTGGCTCCCGGAACCTCATGCTGCCAGCCATCCTGCTGTCCAGTGACTCATCTTCTCTGCCCTAGGGCCTCTCAAGAGAAACACCGAGTCCAGCTGCACAAGGAAAAGGAACAGAAGCCCAAGAACATGACCCAGATGTGTGACATCTCAGTGCAGATGGAACCCGTCCACACTGACATTTTCTCGAGCAGTCAGGAGGTGAGTGCCGTCCGGTCGCGGGCGGCCAGCGGGACGTGCTACACGGGAGCCCAGTGGTGGCTGTCTTCGCTTCTGATAGTATTTTCATTCCGAGTTCCAAATGTAGGCACTTGCTTCTGTGAAACGTTCAAAGTGCAAAGCGGCCGTCCGGCCCTCCAACCCCCCCCCCCCCACCTCCCAGTCACTGGAGGTCACCGCTGCCAGTCGCATGCTATTTGTCACGTTGTGTCCTCAGCCCTTTGCCTCACAGAGACTGCCCTACCCTCCAGACAGGCGTGGTCGTGCGGTGCTCGAAGGCCAGGCTCACATCCAGGCTGCCCGGGTTTCATCCCTGAGTGGGACTCCTTCACTCGCAAATGCTGACCCCAGGGAGGTTACATGTGCCGTCCCCCTTGTCTGGGAAGCAGGAGTTAGGACAGCCACCACCCCGCGGGGTCATAAAGAAACAAATTTGATTTATGCACATAAGCACACACAACCTATACATACATGTCTATATAATCTGCTTGCAGAATGATGGTATTAAGCCATACGTATATATTCATTCTGCAACTTGTTTTTTTCCCCACCTGACACAATATAAAGGCCACCTTCTCTAGTAAGTATTTAAAAACCTGCTTCGTTCTTTTAAACGAGGGCATAGAATTCCACGGTGTCCCTTTTATCCAGCCCTGTCCCCTGTTGGTGGACATTTATACGTTATTTCTACTTCCACACGTTGCTGTAGTTGATGTCCTTGTGGGTATGTATGCAGAACAGATTCCCGGATGTGAAAGTGCTGGGTCCGGAGGGCGTCCTGAACCATGCTGGGTAGGGGCCAAACTGCCCTCCCAGAGAGCCACACCACTGACGCCCCAGGCCTGTCTCTCGCTGACTTCTCTGGGGGTGCCTGCCTGGGAGCCCCGGCTGCACAGCCCCCCGCCGGCCCGGGAGGGCGTGTGTCTTTGAGTGAGAGCAGCCCGTGCCACGCGGCCCCTGCAGGTGGCACTCACATTCTGCCCCCGTGGCGGGGGCCGTGGTGCCTCCCACAGTCCGTGGAAGCCTGACCACGGGCTGCAGTGGTTCCTCGAGGCCTCGGGTTTCCTGGGGTCCGGGGGGACCTCCTTTTCCCCTTTGCTTTAGGAAACCAGAGAACAGGGCGCTCCGGCAATGGGCTTTGGATTTTCACTCGGAAACGGGGCCAAATGTGTCAGCTTGCCTCCCTGCTTCCTCAAAGATGCCATCCCCCTGCCAAACAGCAGTGAGCCAGGACCGCACGCAGCTCGAACGAAAGGGCTCGGCGGCCCAGCCAGCTGTCCTTGTCACCGTCGCTGTCCAGCGCACTTTAACAGAAGTTAAAAGCCCTCGGGGCAGCCTCGGTGGGGCCAGGAGCGGGTCTCACTCCCGTCTCCGACCCGTTGGAATCCCAGACTCTTAGTGCGGGACGCAGCCCATATTCGTTCGCTTTTCCGGCACCTACTGAACGTCTGCTGTATGCCAGGCCCAGCGCTGGGCACAGAGGAAGGCACACAGGGTTCCTGTTCGCACCAGACCCCCTCAGGCTCTGCACGAGTTTGCCAGAATGGGTTGCTGACCTGATGCCGAAATTAGTAATTTCTCTTATGTGGGGGGAGTCACGGAAGAGGATGGGCGGGGCGGGGCGGGGGCGGGGAGGCTGCAAGATAAAAGGGAAAAAGTATTTGTTCCTCCTCAGAATGGCTTTCCAAACTCGGGCTACTTCCTGCTTTCTAAGCCAGAGTGGGTCAGAGGGCGTAAGAGTTGTATGAGAAAGAATCTTCATCTTCTCTAAATACACAAATTCCCAGAAGAGCCATGAGTAAGGGTCACATCGGGCTCAGACATACTCTTCAGACAGAATAAAGGCTGTCACCCAGCCTCGCTGCTGTGGCTGCCCCAACCCCCAGGTCAGTAGCCCCTGCTCTCCTCTCTGCACCCCTGCACGTGTGCACACACATATCACACACACACACACACACACACACACACACATACACGACATTTCAGGTGTTTACTCCTGGGCTGACCTACACTCTCAAATACAGCAAGGCTAGTATAGAACCAACCTAGGAAGAGTGAACCAGCCGTGCAGTCTATAAGGAGGCTGAAGACAGTATCCAGGTCAAGTGAGGTCCTACTAAGTGCAGACGGGTGGAGCACCCCCTTCTTTTTTGCTGGTGAGCCTGGTCCCAGCCAGAAAGCCAGGACAGGCTCCTTCCTACTCCTGTTTCTGACCTTGGTTCGTTCAGTCTCCGTAACTATTGCGCATCTACTAAGCTGGGGCACGGGGCTGGACTCTGGGAACACCACTGGAGACGGGACTTTGTTCGCACGGAGCCCGTGTGACACACGGGGGCTTCAGGGGGGTCCCGGAACCTCCAGAAACTGTATGCAAATGTTGTGTATATGTGACTTCCTCTGAAAGATGGAACCTCGGATTCTTCCAAATCTGAAAGGTAGATATGACCCTTAAAAGATAGAGAAGACCAAGGGGCGCCTGGGTGGCTCAGTCGCTTGAGTGTCTGACTTCAGCTCAGGTCATGATCTCAACAGTTTGTGAGTTCGAGCCCCGTGTCGGGCTCTGTGCTGACAGCTCGGAGCCCGGAGCCTGATTTGGACTCTGTGTCTCCCTCTCTCTCTTCCCCTCCCCTGCTTATGCTTTCTGTCTTTCTCTTGCTCTCTCTCTCAAAAATGAATAAACGTTTTAAAAAAATTTTTTTAAAGATAGAGAAGACCTCTCCTTGTCTATGCCCTTCATCAGCCCTACTCTAGCTCTGTGCCTGGTGGCTACCATATTGGGTGGTGCGAAGATGGAACGTTCCCCTCGTCGCAAGAGACCTCTGTTGGACAGTAGAGGCTCCGGAAGTCTCAGGGAAAGGTTTTCCTCTCTCCAGACCAACCATGAGCCTGTCAAACTCCCCCCCCCATCCTTGTTACCAGTCAAGAAGAAAATATCATGTGTTCTCATCCCAAAAACGCCCCTCCTGCAGCAGAATTTGATGGGATTATTCTGAAACAAGATCCGAAATGACAACAAATAGAAACCCAGGCTGAGCAGAATATTAGAATAAAATATAAAATGTGGGGAGGGAGCATCGAGGGGGGTTTTATTTATAGATATGCTAAGTAGGTAAGACAGTTGAAAATCTTCCTAGATGTGACTTTATATTTGAAATGAAAATTTTAAATCCCTTCTGTGCCAAAGCCCCGTATAGTAGCTTCCAAGGTACTAAGTGACAGGGTCCCTACTAGCCATGAATTGTACGTGTTTCTTGGAATATAAGGGAGAAATTCTGAGCCCTAATAACGCTGCTATCTGAACCATTCTGGCTGCAGGATTCCTTCAGTGATCTAGGGGCCAAGTGCAAAGGGTCCCGACACGAGGAAGTCATTCAGCGTCAGAAAAAAGCCTTGTCTGAACTGCGTGCACGAATTAAGGAGCTGGAGAAGGCGTCCTCGGCAAGTAAGCTCCCTCCCTGCTGGTCTCCCTCTCCCAGCTCACAGTCCTGAGCCCCAGACTCTAGGGATCACTCTGGGCGCCGACAATCGGCCAGGACCACTGTCTCCCATCCCCATCACTTCATAACCGAAAGGACGTAGTGATACAAGGAAAGATGGCAGGCATGGTCTCAGAGTCAAGGGCAAGGCTTGGTATTTAAATAAGTAGGATCTCGTGGAAAAGTCACTACGTTGTCCTCCTTTTTCTCATTTCGCTGTGGCCCCGGCGGGAACTTGGTCATAGACTAACACTGCAAGGATCGGCCTTGGGGAACCTCCTAGAACACCCTGTTTAGAGGGGATAGCATTCTCAAGACACTGCTGGGGGAAGCGCTGAGCTAGGACCCAGAGGCCAGGGTTCAAGTTCTGTCCTTGCTCCTATAGCTGAAAGTTCACCCTCTGTGCCTTGGCACTGACACCTGCGAGGCCGCAGCCTCCTCCTAGCTGTGTGACCTTGGACAAGCCACCTACCTGTCTAGGCCTATTTCTCACCTGCCAAGGGAGGGGGCTGGAGATCAGCACCGGCCTACGATAAGGGTCCCGTAAAGAGCAGCTGTGATCATTACGAGCAATAACTTCTTCCCGACCCTTTCTTTTGACTCTCACTTACTTGTTTTATAGATCCTAAGGACCACCCGAATGAATCATTTCTAGACTCAAAGGCTGTCAGAATGGAAACAAATGTCCAGAAGACATCGGACGCAAAACCTGACGTGCCAGCTTTCTCAAGAATAGAGATCAGAGCGGTAACCAAAGAAAGTTTGTCCCCGCGGTAACTGAGACGTGGAGTGCGTGGGCCTGAGGGCAGACACCAGCCGTGCGCTCTGGCACAGCCGTGAGCGTCAGAGGTTCAGGGCCGGCCCTCCCTGGCGGGCCAACATCTGTGCCGACCCCTCGGTGGCTTTGCCACAGCGGTGACCCCGTGTCTGGACAGAGAGGTTGCTTTCCGTTTGTGGCCAGCGTGGTAAACCCTTGCACTGACACTGAGCCAGGGTAATCGCCGGCGGGCCCTCCTTTTCACGTTATGTGTTCTGTTCCGCAGAAAATAGCTCAACAGGCTGCTTCTTAACATTACGCCGTGAGTTTGCCTCAAGTGTGCTTTTCGTGGCGAACTGAAGAACACGAACATGTAAAGGGTAGCAGGAGGGCTGATTAAGAGGCACAGGTTCTAGAATCAGAGGGGCCCGTGTCAGAATCCCAGCCCTGCAAGCCGTGTGGCCTTGGGCGGGCTCAGCCTTTCTGGGACTCCCTTCCCCAGCTGGGAAATGACGAAGATTTAGAGGTGGCGGTGGTAAGTGCTTGGCCCCGCCACCTAGCTCAGAGCGAACACTTAATAAATTGTAGCTGTGAATGACGGTTCGAGGTATTTAAATAGCATCACTCAAGAAAACCTCCCTTTCTTAAGGGAAATGGTTTTATTTGCTAGGATTTTCGGAAGTGATTCGATTGTTATGGTGAAGGTGCCCCGTACCCTAAATGGATGTCTGGTGGGTGTCTGACATGTGATGGTGGACAGCTCAGGTCGGTGTCACTCACGGGATCCCCTGGGCTCAGCTTGCTGCCACAGCGGGATCTAAATTTTTTTTGTTTTTAACGTTTATCGTTTTTGAGAGAGAGACAGAGACAGGGACAGGGACAGAGAGCAAGCAGGGGAGGGGCAGAGAGAGAGAGACACACACACACAGAATCGGAAGCAGGCTCCAGGTCCTGAGCTAAACTCTCATTTGTCAATCACCCCTCCCAGCGGCCTTGTGTTGGAGTTACTGTCGTGCCCATTTTACAGACAGGAAAAGTCAAGACTTAGGGCGATCAGGTACGTCACCCAAGGTCACAGCATAATGCCTGACGGAGCCAGGACTGTGTCTGTGGCAGCCCGTCCCTAGCCCTCTGCTAGTCTGCAGACAAGGACAAGGGGACTGCGTGATTGAACCTTGTAGACCAGACTCTGCCTTAGGTGACCCTCCATCGGGGAAGAAGGGAACCGGAAGAGGGGTGCAGAGGACAGCACCCAGAGCCGGGCACGCTCAGTGATGCTTCACACTCTCTTGCAGCAGGTGTGCCCAGTTGACTGTCATCAAGTCCCCTCTTTTACGCTTCTCGCTATAGACGTGGAGACAAAGAGTCCATGCTTTTCTATCCCAGTCACTTTCTGAGCTTTCCGTGTTTGTAGCTGGGCTTCCTTTTAATCTCAGGCGTTTACAGTATCGTGTCAGCAAATGCTGCGGGCCAAGAGATGCTCACGGCGAGCACTTAACCCAGTCTGCTTTGGGGGGAGATTTATGACAGTTATTTGTGGTCCGTCAGGCTCCCCGATCTGGCCGGTGGCTTTTCCGTGCGGTCCGTAGGGACTTTCAGCAGCCAGCTGGCTGATAGGGTCTTAGGGCATAGCTGCAAACACCCTTCAGCACTGTTTCTAAACAGCGTGGGTCTAAAGTGATGGCCGCCCACCAGGTTCTAGCACTGGGGGAGGGTTTGGCCAAATCGGGTGAGGGTATCATCTCTGCTGCCTGAAAAGGAGACTCCTTTAATAAAAGGAGTCTCACTGATTCAACAAGCAGGCCCACCAGGTGCCATTCTGTGCCAGGTGCCATGCTGGGCACGAGAAACAGAACAGCGAGCAAAAGCAAGGAAGCTCGTCATCTGGACCGGGGTTTCCCGACCGGAACACGACTGGTATTTTGGGCCGGGTAATTCTTTGTGGCAGAGGAGGCCGTTCTACGTACCGTGGGGTGTTTAGCAGCATCCGTGCCCTCGACCCCCTGCGTGCCATTAGTACCCCCCATCTCTCGTTGCGACGGCTAAAAGCGTGTCCAGGCATTGTCAAAGGTCCTGGGGCATGCAGGAGAGGGTGGACAAAACCCCCTCGGTTCAGAACCACTGGTCCGGAGGGAAGACAGGCAGTAACCAGAGAACAAGGCAAGTGATGTGTCATTTCAAAGAGAGTCACAGTCTGAAGGGTAGCAGCGCAGTCGACAGAGGACTCGGACTGGATGGTCAGGAACCGACATGCAAATCCACTCTCTTAGAGTCATTCTTCGGGAACCACAGGGTGTTACCTCCAGGATGTACAAGTTCACGATGGAATGCCGAGAGAGAGAGTTTTTACTTCTTTTTTTTCTTTTTTTTCCCCCCAGCCTCGGAACGGCCCTGTCAACTCAGCCGTCCCGGACGTCAAGTCAGGGAAGATGGATGTGGTTGAGGCTTTAGATCTCAGTGAAAAGTTGGTACGTGCATCCAGCGTGGTCCCCCCCTGTCCAAACGTGGGTCCCCTGCAGTCACTGTTAACCACCGGATAGGGTAACTAAACACGAGCCTCGCGTGCGTATTTCGTTGTTATAAAAGCTCTGCAGGACCCATCTACTGTCCCAGCGTGGCTCAGACTTTGCAATTCCTTGAAAAACTGGGTAGCTAGCATGAATGTTTATGTCTGTTGTCACTCTTCCCCCTGGTTCTCAAAAAGGCATAGCGTAAATGGATACGGAGGAAACGAAAGTCGTATTCACTTCCAAGCACGGGCTCGTTCTCTGCAATTGCAGAAACTGAACAAAACAAAATTAGACGCTTGCCTCCTCAAAGTGGCCTCCAGCGGTCTCGCGCCAGGCCTCTTAACTGCCAAACGCTTTCCTCGCAGTACATGGACATGAGCGAAACACTCGGGAGCCTGATGAACATCAAGGACATGTCAGGTCACATATCCATGAAGTACCTCTCCCCCAAAGAGAGAGAGAGAGTCAACCAGCTCCGACAAAGGGACCTCGATCTGGTGTTCGAGAAGATCACCCAACTCAAGAGCCGGCTGGAGAGAAAAGAGGAGCTTTTGAGAGGCTACGAGAAAGACATAGAACAGCTCAGGTACCGCCCGTGTCCCCGCAGAAAGGGCCAGGTGTCCGGTCTCGCGGCTGAACCTCGGGCAGCGGCAGACGCAGGTCCGGGACAGGCAGAGGCCTCGGGGGAGGGGGCCTGGGGCCCGACAGAAGCGAGTCTGTCTGCGAGAAAGCAGCGGTCGAGGGGGTCGGGGTTCATCCTGCCCTCTCTCGCCACGAGCGAGAGGCGCCTCGTACGAATTCTGACTCAGGGTTCGCCTTGTGTGCTTTCCAAGGCCCCGCCCTGTTTCAGCGGCCGCCGCTCCCCTACCCTCTCTGGGAAACGGGGGGCTGGTAGCACGTAGGCAGCTGATGAGGTATCTGTCCTGCCCCGTGCGCCCCAAATCTGCTGGTGACGAAGCCACCGAGTTAGCCGCCTAGGGAAGTATTCTGAGATTCTCCCAGGTTGGGGACATCGGTGGCGAAGGAGAAAGATGCGGGAGAAAGAGGCCGTGTCTCTCCCGTCCGCTCAGGCAGAGCAAAGTATCCGTGCAGACGTACCAGTCACAGGTGGCCAAGCTGGAGGACAACATCCACAAAGAGGCCGAAGAGAAGGCCCTGTTGAAGGAGGCCCTGCAGCGCGTGGAGCTCCAGCTGTACCAGGAGAAGAGGTTCAACAGGGCCATCAGGCAGCAGAAGGTGAGAGGGCCCGGCGGGGAGCACAAGCTCTGAGGCCGCCCCCTGGCTCCCTTTGGAAATGGCAAAGTGAGCACCCGGGGTGGCCCGTGGGGCGTCAGACACACCCGGCTTTACACCCTGGCTCTGCCACTTGCTGTGTGACCTCAGGTGGGTTCCTTAACCTCTCTGAAACTCCTAATGTAGCTTATCCGTGTCTTCCTAACCAGTGGCTATTGTTTGTATTTTTATGGTTCTCCCAGGTAGTAGGGATACATAGATGAAAAAGCTCCCTGTGAATAAAGATGTGGGTTCACTACTCGGAGTGCTCAGCACATAGTTGACATAGGAAATATTGGATGGATGGATGGATGGATGGATGGGTGGATGGATGGATGTGTGTCCTTGAAGAACATAATCCTTTAGAGCATAACAGGTAAAGCGCTGACTGCTGGCTGATTTAATGATTTAAAGTCTCTGTCTGGGGCACCTGAGTGGCTCAGTAGGTTAAGTGTCTGACTTTGGCTCAGGGCATGAACTCACTGTTCCTAGGTTCGCGCCCTGCATCGGGCTCTGGGCTGACCGCTCAGAGCCTGGAGCCTGCTTCAGATTCTGTGTCTCCCTCTCTCTCTATCGCTCCCCCACTCGCACTCTTTCTCTCTCAAAATGAATAAACATTAAAAAGTAAATAAAAAAAATAGAGTGTCTGAAGGGCACTCGGGCTGTGTCATCCAGAGGCAGGCACTCGGCCAGCCCGGAACGTCCCAGGGGTGTCTTCCAAGGGGTGACACCTTTGCACTGAGTTGCAAAGGGGAGCTGGACTCTGCCCACCACAGGCACGGGCAGGGGGTGTGGGGGGAGGGCTTGCGTTCCGGGCTGCGGGAACCTGGGGGAAGGGCAGGAGGACGAGAGCTCCGGCTCCTGGCAGGAACTTGGCAGTAGCACTGCCTTGAGAAACCAAGATCTGAGACTCAGGCTGGCGATCCAGCCAAAAGCAGCCACCTCCTCCCCTCAACCTGTCCTCTCCTCTGTCACGCGGCACAGGAGTCAGCTAGTCCTGGGTTCAGATTCCCCCACTCACTCCCTGCGTGGCCTCGTGCCAATCCCTTCCCCTCTCTGCGCCTCGCTTCCTCACCGATGAACGGGAACTGACCGCCCCTGCCCTGCAGGGCTGTTGTGGGCACAGTGCCGGCACCCTCACCATCCAGGCTCTCACGGTGTGAACTCACAGGCCGTGTGGCTTCAGACGGCGAGGGACACGTGTGCTCCCTCTAGAGCGGGTAGCCCAGGGCCTGGCACACGGCGGGTAGATGCCACTCTCCTCCGTGTGGCCAGCTGCCTGCACGTGGGGTCACTGGGGCAAGCTCTGCCTCAGACCCGCGAGAGTTGCAGCTGACGGTGAGGCGTGCGTGACCCACAGCCAAACAGGTGCTTCGGAAGCTCCCGGCAGACCTGTGCCTGCCCCGTGGTCGGCAGAGGGGCTCTCTTTTTTTTTTTTTAATTTTTGTTTAATGCTTGTTTATTTTTGAGAGAGAGAGAGAGACAAAGCATGAGTGGAAGAGGGGCAGAGAGAGACGGAGACACAGAATCCGAAGCAGGCTCCAGCCTCCGAGCTGTCAGCACAGAGCCCGACGCGGGGCTCGAATTCATGAACCATGAGATCGTGACCTGAGCCGAAGTCGGACGCTCCACCGACTGAGTCACCCAGGCGCACCCCCCCCCCTTTTTAAAACTCTGGCAGAGGTGTTCTCTTGTCTTCTCTGCAGTTTATACCCATAGCCATTCGCTCCTGCATTCATTTCCAAACCAGACTCTCCCTTCTTCTTAACCCTTGCCTAAACTAAAATAGGACAAACAAGGAAAATTATCATAACCATCTCGTGACCATCTCCAGGCACCGGGCTCCACCCAGGCTTTGCAGCCCTGATCGGGGTGACTAATGCCTTCGTAGGTCTGCCTGGTTGGTATGATGAGTCCCGTTTTACAGATGAGGAAACTGAGCCTCCGAAAGTTAAGAGACTTGCCCAAGCTCACACAGTAGCAGCTGGTAAGCAGAGCCTAGACCTGGCCCCAGATCTCTGACTCTAGTTTCCGAGCTCTCTGCTGGGCTCTCCCCGTTCTTCTTGTAATTGTTAGTCTGCCTGACTCAGGGCTGTGTATTTATGCATGCATGCTTGCACGTGTGCGTGTATGTGAGTGTGTATAATAAGTGTGTGTGTGCTGTAATGTGTGTTTCTGTGTGTATATTTGTGTGTGTGTGTGTGTGTGTGTGTGTGTGTGTGTGCGTTGCCTGCAGGAGCTCTAAGGAGGCCAAGCCATAGAAGGCTATAGAAGGGTGCCCTCCTCCCCAACCAGGAGGCCCTGGTCAGACAAGTTACTCGCAGAAGCCTGCCCTCCAACCTGCAAACCTCCCAGACCACAGGTTCCCTGGCTTATAGCGCTAGAAATGAATCCAGCCATCGTGCTCAGAAGGAGCCCTAGATGTGGGGTTTCTAGAGTCCACAGTCTTGAATTAAACATCACAGGCCTCAGGCAAAGGACGATTTCCTTTCACACCAGGCAACCAGGGAGAGCTGGGCCAGTGACAGAGCTCTGACTTTTCCTTTGATGTGCCCGCCAGAGAGCTCACCCCTCCCTAAGGTGCTCCCCCCCACCAGGACTTGGCAGGCTAGCCCCCAAAGCTGAGACACCAGACCACAGAATGGGGCAGCAAAGGGCCCAGAAAAAGGCCATTGTCATGGGGCTGGCTAAAAATGTAAGAAAACCTGAGGATTTACATAATCAGGCTTTCCATGCATTATTCATGAGCTGCCTCATTCATACACAATGCAGGGGCCATGCCAGCCTGTTGGGCACTGGACATCCTTCTGTGGAGAAGGAGCTGAAGTGGCCAAGTCAAACCTGCATCTGTATCCCCAGAAGAGCCGGGGCTGAGAACTTTCAAATTCATGGAAGTCACAATTTAGGGAAAGATTACGAAAAGCAGAGTCACAATCACAGCGATGCCGGTGGCATGATTTCCTGGGCACGTACCGAGGGACAGGCACCTGCTCCACGCGACACATGCTTCATCCCTCCCATCAGCCCCGCGGGGGATGCTGGCGCGTGGCCGCCCATTCAGAGCGGCTGACAGAGGGCAGCGTCACCTGGCTGCCCGGCAGCAGAAACGGGACGCCACCCCCGCCCCAGGCCTGCTGCCCTCCCCAGCCCGAGTTCGCTTCTCCCCACCCGTTGCTCTGTGCGCCTCCTTTTCCAGGAGGTCTCTGCTCATCCCAGGGCTAGGGTTGGCATGCAAGGTGTATTATTAACATGTCAGAATTTCCTGTTTATCAGGAGGAAAAACAACCACCAACATAGATTTTAGGGTTTTGCTGCATTCTAAAGGGAACTTCAGAATCTGTCTTGGCCTCAGTTCCCTCCAAGGAACATATTCATCATGGAAATGATTTTTTGTTTTAAGTTTGACACCTAGCATCTTCACAAGGAGCCTTCGTGGTTTCGGTCTCACGTATAAAATTTCCCCCATCCGTAGAGAACGGGGTGGCTGAGGCACTAGACCAGCAGAACCATCACCCTCCTCAAAAAGGAAAAACAAAAAGCAGGAAGTAGTTTTTAGTGTCAATGTTCAAACATCTGTTCGCCAAAGCAGAACTTTCTGGAATCAAAAGTCACACTTCCACACTCATACCTTTGGCTGTGGCAATGAGACTTGATATAAAATACTGGGGAAGACCTCAGTGCTGGGCACTCACAGGGAACCTCACGGTCATCAGCTCCGGACCCTGGAAGGCCCCCGGTCTGGAGCTCTGGCCCTGTGACAGAGGGACAATGACAGCCGTGCAGGCTGCGCTCAGTCTCATCCACTTCCCACACCACCGTATAAGGCAGCTGTGTCTCTCGGAGTTCAGAGGCGGACTTTGGAGCCAAACGACTAGAGTTGAAGCCCCACCCCTGGCCCTGAGTGACCCCGAGCCACCGGTTTATGCCCCCCCCGTGTCTCAGATTCCTCAACACGAGCACCCAAAGATGATTAACAACGGGGCCCGGGGAGGGTTAAATGCCATAAAGCCTGCAGTGCCGGGCGCACAGCAAGCACGATTACGGGGCCTGGGCGTGGGGGGAGAAAAGGCAGCTCGTGGACGGGTGGGGCGAGGCCGGCAGGTCCCTGAGAGAGCTTCCTGCCGGCTGACCTGACGCTGTCGCCAAACCCCGAGACGCGATCCCGGGGCTCCGGGAGCCAGCAGCTGTTTTGTGAAGGTCTCCTTTAGAGTTGGTGAATACAACCAGGGCTCCGGCCAAGAAGAGCTCAGATACTTTTTGTGAATGGGCGAAGGCTGGAATTTTCAATGGGAGAATTTCAAATGCACTGAAGTAGCCATCGGGGCAGCACGCACTCCCCTTCCTGGCCCTTTATTAGGGCTCCTAGCGTCTGGAAGGCTCCGGGGTGCGGGGTGCGGTGCGCTGGCTGCTTCTGGCTGCTTCCCCAGCCCCTCAGGTCTCCAGCCAATCAAATCCCGGCCAAGGGGCGTGGCCACAGCGTTGCCGGGTGGGGTCAGTGGGGCTAGACCACCGCCCTCCCCTACACACACACACACACACACACACACACACACACACCACCTTCCCTCTGCTTAATTAGCTCAGATCCCTCATCTTTCAGATGAGAATAGAGGTGGCTTGTAACCCAATGCGTCCAATTCAAGGAGAGTGTGGATACAAGACCCTTAGCACACAGGACTACTCCATACGACCTTCCGTACCGTCATCCATGGTCTCACTACCCTACTCAAATCGCAATTTTCCGAAATTTTTCTCGAGCCCAAGCATTCTCAAGATCCAGGTTTAAAAAAAAAATGTTCTTTTTTAAATCCAGGATCCCTCAGTTGGGTGCTTTTGACCGAGGAGTAGAAATCGGTAGATGGTGTACAGTATAAGAATGGGAGGGTAGGGGGTGGGGACCGTACCCTCCAGCCCACGAAAGGATGAGAATGTGAAGTGTGGTTTGTGCGGTGCGGCGCGTGGTT